AGCTAATGCTTTTAATGCTGATTCCACACTTAGAGAAAACAGTTCTTCAAATGTGCTCGAATGCATTTTTTGAAAATGTGTAGGGGAAAGAATCGAGGCATCTAATTTTGGTGCTGGCTTGAATTCAAATTTCTCCTGTAGCTTACTGAATTTTTCAACTTCTTTTATAGAAACATTCGATGAACTTAAATTGTATTTATCAACAATTTTTTTTGATATTGATGTCCTGTCATTATTACGAAAGGCACTGACTATGTTTTTTATGTCATGCTCCGGATCGGGAATCAAAAAAAGTTTTCTAGATTTATCAACTGGATGAGTAATGAAAGGTTCACGTTCTCCTTTAAGCAAGTTTTTTTCTAAATATTTCAGCATTGAAGTATTAGCGGGTCCAAGATCATAAGTAATAAAATCAATTTTTACTTTTGTCTTACTTTCTATCTCCTCAATAAGTCCTAACAAAAATTTGGTTTGTTCTTCTGAATCGCCTTTTTTAGCTGTAAGATGATACGCAATTATTTCTTTAACTCTTTTTTCTATTCCAACCAATAGAAAAACTAATACGTTATCAGCATATGTATTTCCAGGTGGTAATGTAGCTTTTCCGATGTATTCTTTGGTTTTTCTTTCCAAAGATTCTCCAGGCACTATAGCTTTTTCATCAATTATTAATCCCATTCTTAGTTGACTCGGTGTAAAGTCTTCAACTTTGTGCCTTATTACATCGATTACGATGTTTAAAATGCCAGGCTGTATGACAAAAGACTCTAAATGACGACGAACTGTTCTGTCACATGGTAATGGTGCTATAAACTTGCGACAGTAATTTAATGCCCTTGAGCTACCTAATGAAGAAATCATAATTGCCTTTTTGATTGCCGAGTTACTCCAATTTTTAACAGCCAATGAGGGATTCTTTAATGCTTTTATCTGGTCATCTCCTAGATATATTTTCAAAGAATTAACCAAGGTGTCATATTCTGCCTTTAAACTTTTAAATTTGCATTCGAGATTTTTCAATTGTTGTTGAACCGACTGTATCTCTATTGATGCTGAACAACAAACGTTCTGAAATAAGTATCAAAGAAAATGGTAAGAAAGTAGCTGGATTTAATTGGACTTTAAACATTTTCAGGCAGTGCATTTACCGAAGAATTTCTATTTTGGCTATCATCCATAACATTTTCAGCTTCTACATCCATATCATCGTCTTCAATTTCTGGGATAATTTTAGTTGGTACGGCTAATTTCTTAAGGATTAGTCTTGACGATGTTTTCTTTAGCAATTGCTTGTCAAAATGTAACTCACAAATAAGTGTTGTCTTCTTGATATCGCATTTTCTAATTCCTGCTGTATTTAAAAAATTAATCCATTCGTCTCTAATAAATTCTTGTTCTTCAGGAAGTCTAAATAATGTAAATCCATCAGAACGACAACTTCTGCACTTTGGTAAAATGCAATTAGTCATTGCAAGTTAAATTCAGTGAGTTTTAGTATGTTTTAATTGTTATATTTCAACACAATAAATTTATAGAAAAAAATTTTTTTTATTTGTTTACAAATTATTTGAGAAAAAGATAACGGTGAATTAAAATTTGAATTTTGTATAACTTGTTGTCAAGTGTCGATTTTTTGAATTTAGTCGACCTTGATGTCGAAAAAAGTCGATACTGAAATGTCCGTAGCATGTGTTAAACAATCATAAATACAAAATAAAAGTAAGAGCTTGAATTTGATTTTGAATATCGATTGCAATAAGTCAGGTTAAATTGGAATGTGAATAATTCAATGTAATCAATGAGGAAAATCCATAAGACCATGATTGATCTAATCTACTTCTCCGTTTCGAATTGAATGGTTTGATGCAGTGCTGGTGTTTCTGATAAGTTTAATAAAGATTCAGATACGACGATAGAAACAGTAACGTTAAGAGTCTAAGCTAAACAATAGTTCAGTCCTGATACAATTTTAAAGTTTAACTAGATTCAGTACTGACTGCATTACCTTAGTTCGATATGATTTACACTAGCATCTTTGTTCTGATAAAATGCAAAAATTCAATCCAACAACTGTTGAGAATATAGTAACAATTATTTTATATTCAAATTATGTATAATATTTAGTCTCTTTCTGATCTTCGAATAATAAAGTTCATTGTGATATAAGATCTTTTTGATTGGAACAACAACACTGGACCATCGCTATTGCTGAATTGAACAATGATGATGAGATGATTTTGTGAGACGCTGAATGAATGACTCCGAACATGAGATAAAATACATTGATGTAATATCATATATGATAACAAAAAATGTAAGTAAGCATAAAACTATGTTAAATTGACAATTTTGCTGGAGAAAAAGAAGATTTTTTTTTGTGTGTGGAACAAAGTTTTTATGTGATGGCATGATATGCCATAATTTAAAGAGCATACGAGAGATATTTTAGTGTGTACTATCATAAAAACGAAGGATTCTTTTACAATAAGCTTTTTCAACAAACAAAATAAACAACAGAAAGTTTTCTTTTGATGAAAATTTTTAAGACTGCTTAAAGTTTATGCGATGTTTGAAGAGGTTTTGGTTGAAAGATTTTTGTGTCTTTGGTTTGTCTTGATCTTATTTAGGATTCTAGAAACTGCTTAGACTAGATACATCTGATTAACCTTATTTAAGTAACTCAACTGTTTTTTGAAGATCCTATTTTTAATATAGTTCCATTTTAACGAAATACGCTCAAGAAGTTTAAAACAAACCTTATTGCTTGCTCATTTCATGATTTAACACTTGTTCCTAGTAAGTTTCCGTATTGTACTCATACGTGCAATAATAACGATGACAGTAGCATGTAACATGCCGATTTTTTTTTCAATTGTTCTAGTTATCTTATATAAAAACGAATCCATTCCATTTAATGATAAGAATTTCACGTTTTACTACATTTTTCTGTGATTCTTCTTTTTTTTTTTTTTTAACGAATATTTTAAGGACATTTCTTTTGTTATTGCATGCATCACAAAGAATTGTTTGTCGATTCTTGTTATTTGTCTACAGCTGCTGCCGATCTGTACTTTTTACCGGTAAGAGATTCTTTTTTTTAAACATTTTCCATCTCCGGATTCTTCGTTTTTATGAAAGAGGAAAAAAGCACACAATCTATTGAAACTTTTATAAAAGAATGAAAAGTTTTTAAAATATTTTCTCCTACTTTTCTTCTTTATTTGCTATTAAATAACACAAAGAAAATTGAGGAAAAAGTTTCTTTTAAACTTAGTATAGGGTTGATGGATCGGTTTCTAAGTAATTCGTTTTGGAAATGATATATAAAACATAAGTATCATGTGCTTCAATAAAAGAACACGTACTTTGGAATTTTTTAGATATTCTGGGTGGGTCTTTACTTTTGAAGAATTATATTTGAAATGTACTTTTGAAGGATAAAGGAATATTAAATTTAAACAAATTTTCTTTGAATTGTGTAGGATGATTCTTAAAAAACCAGATCTTCAATGATAAAAAAGATGAAAGATTGTAAATTTCATTATTTGATGATTCTTTTGATAATTTAAATCAATAGAAATTTTCGAGAAAAAAATCTTCACTTCGAACTTTCGGCTTCAAAATTTCTTATTTTCGCTTAAGATATCATAAAACTTATTTCATATTCTTAATTTCTAATTCGGAGTACTCATAATCTCATCTTTGATTTATTTCTAAATTCCCAAATACATAATTAATCAAAAAAGTACATCATTAACCTAAAAAAGCACAACTTTCAATCTAAACTATCCAAATTGCAATAAAGAGACTTCCTTTGCTCCCATCAAACTCACATCAAGTAAATGATTCTTCCAAACAATAGCGTATTAAGACACATTATCGACTACAATTTATCTTCCTAATTTTGTTGGGAATTTTCAACATTTATCCTGTCTTACAGCACAGGAACAAAAGTTTTCTTTGAAATTCGATTCCATTAGTAGTTTATTGCTGTAATAAAGAATATTCTCTCTACTTCATGCAATGGGAGCCTTGATTCTGTATCAGATAATGTTGATTCTCCTCAATGATTACATCCCTGGTTAAATTTTCATTATAAAATGAATTTAAAGTATTCATTAGTTGTAGGGATGAATGAGCACGTTACTATTAAAAAAGTTTCAATGTTCAGTTCTTCTTTATTTCCCACAATCCGCATTGCATTTTAAATTCTTTTATCTATTCATGAATTGTGCTGAAAAGTTAATTGAAAAGTTTTTTTGTTGCTTTTGGATTTAATCTTGTTATTGATGCTAAAATTAAGCATTGATTGAAAGGATTGGGTGTAATCTAAATGATTTTAAGGATTGCTAGTTATATCAAGACCAACCTCGAATTTGACTAATTCCACAATTTTTAACCAATCTCATTCAAATAAGTTTTATGAAAGAACTGAATTTTACTATATAACCTCAAACCGAATCTAATTAGCTCTTCCATCAGCGAAAAAATAGACAAGGAAACCACAATAAATTCTGAAGCTGCACTTTCCATCCAAAATAATTATTTGATATTCGCTAAAAGCTTCGCGCGAACTTTGTAATTTTTCACTCGACCGTTCAAAAGATAGAGCATAATTCAGATAATGTTCGTGCTGATGATAAAGCTTACTGCATATTGGACTCATTTAATCTCATTTAAAGTGTACAAAACTTTTTGCGGATATTTCTCATTTTTCATTCATAATGAAGACGGAAATTATTACGGAGACAAGATAATTAAAACTTTAAGTCATTTCCAGTTTTGTATAATAATGTAAATCTTTACGAAAAAGTTTTCTTTTTATAAAGACACTTTTAGATCGTTATTAATTACTATCGGAAGTAATAATGAATGTTGAGTGAAGTTATTAATGAAACGTGCAAGTTGAGCATGCAAGTTGCATTAAAATATGTAGTCATAAAATAACCAAGCAACTCCAACGGTCGTGAAAAATTTGAAATTTGATTGTCGATTGTAGTCGAATGTTTGTTTCTGACTGTCTGACACTTACAAATAACAACAAACAAAATTCACAGAAAATGTCAAAACGTAAGTTAAGTGATTTTGAGGATGAAGTAGAGCGCGAAAAGCAGTTCCTCGAAGATATTGGACAAAAGCATCAACACACATTGGATTCTGACGAATCAGACAATGAAAATGAGGAGTAAGTCATAAATAAATTGATAATATTAAAACATTTGACTAATATTTGTTGATCTACAGAAATCCAATTCATCACATGAATCCAGATGACATTGAAGGAGAAGAAGCCGGTGATTCATTTGTCATTGCTGATGAGGAGATTAAATTCACACCATTTAACATGAAGGTAAGTAAAAAACATCTCAAAGATCCAGAAACAAATATTAATTATTAATTTGCTATACAGGAAGAACTGGAAGAAGGACATTTCGACAAAGAAGGTCATTATCACTTTAAAAAAGGAGAAGCACATCTTGATAATTGGCTGGATGACGTAGATTGGGTAAAAGTAAAGAAAGAAGCTGAATATCGAAAGAAATACTTTCCAGGCGACGGTGAATACTCATCAGATGAGGAGGAAATAGTGCCAGAGACAAAACTCGATCATCTTGACTCATACAAACAAATTATAGCTGAGATGAAACCAAAAGAATCTATTAATTCAGCACTACAACGATTAAATAATTCAAGAGCGAAACTCACAACAGCACAGCGATGGAAATTAAAGAAGCAAGGCATTGAGGACAAGTCAGCAGAGACAATCACAAAACTCACTGGAATCGTAAATGAAATTCTCACAAAAACAGGTAATATGAATGTTTATGAATTAACGTACGAGCAAATAAAGCACAAAATTTCGGAAATGGAAAGTGCAAAAGATGCTGGGCCGAGTAAGAATGCTGATTTGGACATGTACTCAGATGATTTTGATGTAAAAGAGAAATCAAAAATCACTGACAAAACAGTCACGTTTAAAGTGCCGGCAAGTGTGATAGAACCAGAAGAAGACAAGGAAGCTAAATTGATGTGGGAATACAAACTTACTCAGAATGAAAATGATAAAGTTCTCGGGCCATTTTCGACAGAGCAAATGCAAATGAAAGCAGACAATGGGGATTTTAAGGAATCTGTGTTTGTGAGGAAAGTCGGTGAGGATCGCTTCTATTCATCGGCACGTATTGATTTTGATTTATATTTGTAAGATGATAAAATATATATTTAATTAAATAAATTTGTATGGGCTGATGGATGGACACTCGTTGGCTCTTTGAATGATTATTCAAATCATTTTTGACCAGCTTTATTTAAATTTTACTTCAATTTACAAAATTTATAGAATAATATCTGATATTCTCAATCTTTCTTAAGAATATAGAGCTTGAGCAATCCATTCATCCATTGTAAATGTTGCTATATTCCTCTTCAGATAATCCTTTTCCTTAAATCTCTCAATCATTGTCTTAACTTTCACAGCACACATAATAAAGTCATCAATCGACATTGTATTGTCTGGTGATCCGTAACGATAGATTAGCGAGCTTAGAACTTGATAATTTAATTTATAACCTGCTGATTCTAATGCATCTCGCAACTCATAAGTATCCAGCTTGTTGTTTTGATCTTTGTCATAAAGCTTGAACACAGCCTGATTGAATTGGAAGTTTAAAAAGTTAATAATTTTTTTATTGTAGCAGTTAAATCAATTCTTGGATCTATAAAATATTAAAATAACCACCAACTTACTCTCCATTTAGAAATCTCACAAAGTAAAGTCTTGAATTCCTCTAGTCCTAATTTTCCAGATCTATTGACATCCATCATCGCAACCATGGAACGGCACATGTCCTTTGAAAATTCTTTGTATTCTGATTCTAAATCGATGATTGAAAATTTTAAAAAGTTGATTCTGATCCACTTTTGAAATTGCAAATTATCAATTAAGCAGACAAATAGGAAACACAATGTTATCATTGTTTGATTAGACTGATTGTTTGCTCATAATTAAACAAAGATAACAAACATGCAAAAGCTTAAAATATTAATTGACAACATTTACTAACCATTCTCAACAAGTGCAGCATATGAATCTAGATTAGATGTATTTTTAGTAGAATTAGGGATATATGAATCAGAATACGACGATTTACTTCCAAAACAACACAAATTGCAGGTTGATCCTCTTTTTCGAGGAGATTTCTTGGTGGATTTTGATGGAATTGAATTAGTTGCAGAGTTTAGATCAGTATTATTAGTAAATGTTACTTCGGGAGTTTCATTCATAAGTTCTGAGAAGATTAATAAGATAATAGTGTTAGTTTTAATTCATTATATCCAAAATCCAATCACAAACCTTTCCTCAAACTATGATCCATCATTTGCTTCAGCTCCATCCATCCAATTTCATTCCTAGATCCAGCTACATTTGAGAATAATTTCTCAATTGTTAATCTTTGTGGAGTTGCCGATTTAACATCTAGTAGATGGCTTTTAATCCTTGAGTCTACACTTCCCAATCTTACTCTTTCGTCATTTACTTCAAAGACATTTTTACATTCGGAAAAGACTCGAATCAGAAAATCTCCAGCTTGATCTGGTTCAAATGTTGATGGAACTATTAAATAATATCCTGGATACAACTCAAATCTTCCAAAAACTGATCGAATATTAACAAATTCAGTTGTTCCTGCAGCTGGATGATTTTTCTTGAAGAAATTCTTTTTCAATGGTTTTTGGACCAGGTCAGCTTCACGAAGTCGATAGACTTCAAATCCAATTTTGAGAAAATCATATCCTAAACTTCTCTTCATCCTACGATATTTTTGCATCAACGAAACTATGACTGTACATTTATCAACATTATCATCGTCAGGATATTCCAACTTCATTATATATTGTGGATTGAGATGGAATGTGTTCATATGATTTGTACATCCACCAGCTGTAATTTTTGGTATCCATTCACCCTCAAACACACTCATGTTCCACTGTCTTTTTGTTCTTGCTGAAACTTTTTGATCATTTTCTGCAGAATCAGGTGACAAATCACAAATGTAAAGGTTGTTAAAGTTATGGAGAAAATCACTGTATGACATCCAAAACTCTCCATCATGCTCGAATGTAAGTCCAATTTGTTTCTTTACATGGTCTGGGATATAGCGCCATTGAGGTGATCGATCACTCCATTGGCCATTCCATTCTATGTGGTTACCCTGGATAAGGATTAAACTTGAATATGGTTTTACATTGAACATTTAAGCTCAAATCAAACTGTCTTAATGGTAGATTTGGGATTTAGACATACAACTTACCCAAGGATTCCTTAGCCGCAGCAATGGAATTTTACCCTTTGTATTTGGAGTGACTATGTCGACATATTTTACTTTCGTGATTGAATAAGAATGACCTCGAACCAGACCTTCTGGAGTTTTCTCTTCGTAGATACGAGGATTAGAATTGATTGAACAAGCCATCATTGAATCTCTTAAAACTCTATTCTCGAGGGTGCTGTATAAATGAGCAGGTGCTTTACTCAAGTCATACCTCTCAGAAACACCGCCTGTAAAGTCTTCCAACGCATCACTAGTCTGCCCACCTTTGAGAGCTTCATAGCTGCCATGTAATTTTGCATAAGCCTTTTCTAATAAAGCTGACCAGAATTCATTCTGTTCTGGCGACTGCATAAATACTAATTTGCCATTTAAAGTCGGTAAACGATCATCAACGACTACGTCAACCCATTTGCCGAATCGCCAAAAACTGTAATCAATTTTTACATTTTTTTATGACTAAAGATAAAAAGTTCCGTCATCGATGTGTATTTAAAATTACGGTAAGTGATTCACAGTTGCTGATAAGTTGGATATAACAAAGTTACTTACCAAAAATGAAAAATACCACAATAATCCTTCACAAAGCTATTGTCATTGTACACAACTCTTGAAAATAATTTTGGATTTAATGTTAAGCTTGCAGCTGCTGCTAAAAACCAGCAGTCACCGAGTTCTCCTTGTCGTGCGTCAAACCTTGAAAAACCTTCTACAAAAAATCTCGGATGCTCGCATATTTCAAATGGTCTGAGCCATTTGTAACGTTTGATTGTAGATTGTCGTGAGTAGAACAAGCTTTTGTCTGCTGCTGGGAACTCAGGATCTTCAAATAACTTTCCAGAATTGATATGTTGCTGGCGTAAAGCATAAAAGTCTTGAACTTTTATTTGTCTGTGGAGTTCTGATGCGCGTTCGCCTAGCTATTAGGAAATTTGTTAAATCTCAATTTCAACTAGTCCTATCATTTCGAATTTTGTTGGATGGCTAAGATATCCAGAGACTAAGAATCCAAAAGACTTACCAAATAGATAGGCTGGCCATCAAATGTATATCTTCGATTAATCATATTTTTTTATGTCTTTAACACCTTTTTACTTCTATAATATCAAATCAAGACTGAGCTAAAATAATTTTCAAATCCCTATTCGATATCAGTTTAAAATATGGTTTATGTGACAAAATCAGTGAGAGAAAATGAGTCCCTAACGCATTTCTCTCGCGATTTTAACTCTTTTTTGAGACACTTTTGTTGATATCATTCGGTTTTCATTATTGTGTGAAATGAAAATAACTTCGAATCAAGATTATATTGTCAAAGCTATATTATCATCAATAATAATTGTGTTAATTGATAGATCTTCTTATGTTAAAACAATGGTCGATGAACATCTGATTCTGATTCACTTTTTTGTTATCAGATGTGGTAGGTAAATGATATTCAAACTTAAGAAGCGATAGGTTTCATTGGAGTTCGAAGCATGCAAGTATGATCAACTTTTAATTACATTAAAAGTTGAAATTTTCATTCATTTTCAGAGTAAAATTAGTTTAGTCAGATTTGAGATAACATAAAAGAATTAGAATTCTGAATAATCTTTTGTTGCATTGAAAAAGTTGAAATGATTAGTCAACATCTTAATGCAGCCATAATGTTATATGAACTTATATCTTTGATCCGATTAATATTGGAAAATTATTCTGTCATTTTGCGAAATTTTGTTATCATTCAAACAACAAATGTACTCTTATGATATATCAATTCTATCGTTTTAATTTGATAGCAAATACGAACTTAGTTCAGAAGGTTTCAAATATTTAAATCAAGAACATTTAAAAACTGAAGAAAGCAGTTGTCAATGATCTAAGATTCAAGTCTTTAAAACATATTTCTACTTAAGAACTTGGCTGATATTCTTAACATTTGAAGACTGAAATTCAATGCAATTACTTCAATTTTGATAACAATAAAACAGATAAGCAAGTTATATTATTTATAGCACAATAAAATTCTTTATTATTGTTAAACTTTATTGAAATGTTAAAGACAATTACTATTTATTTTAATAAAAGATAAACAAGACTTTGCGAAACGATTTGTTTCATGATAACAAGTATATGAAGTTTTTAAAATAGTTCTTCTGACTAATGATTGATAAAATTTTTCAATTTGTGTGTAAACATAGGCACGATTTCTGATTTCACAAAATAATTGCAATTCTTTCTGTCTTTATGTAAAAATTCCATTTTGTGCGATTCCTTTAAGCATCTTTACATTCAAATATTTCGAGAATAAAGTTTTGATTATAAACTAATAACTTTAAAAGGAAGACAACCATAACTTTTAAGATAATTTGATCAGTTTTTTTAGTACATCCAAAAATAAATAGAAAGTGGAGTTAAATATTTTTTTTTTTTGTTATGGATTAAAGCGAAAATCGTGGAAATTCCAAAGCATGGTAATTGAAAAGTTGACTTTCAGACATTGAGCACTCAAATCCATTAAAAATTCTAAAGATCAATGTCTAATAATCCCTTGAAATTCCCCATTCGAAACAATTATAATTTACAGTCTGACTGCAAAACAACTAAATTTATAATTAATGAAAAAATGCAACTTTAAACATTCGAAAAGCTGGAATACATAATACAAGTTTATGAATAAAGTGATCTCGTAATCCATTCATCCATCGTGAATGTCGCTTGATTTGTGTTGTTATAATCCTTCTCCTTAAAGTGCTCAATCATTGTCTTAACTTTAACAGCACACATGATGAAGTCATCAAATGAAATTGTCTTGTCAGCTGCTCCATAACGATAAACAAGGGAGTTAAGAATGTGATTATTCAAATGATAACCGGCAGATCCTAAAGCTTCACGCATTTCATAACCATTGAGTTTGTTGGTGTTTGCTCTGTCGTATAATTTGAAGACAGCCTGGATTTTAAAGGGAAAATAAGTTTTTATAATTAATTACAGATTTAATTGATATTGGAAGCTAGCTTTATGCTGTCAGGTTGTTTAAGACTTCAGGACTTGACCAGTATGCAAACTTTATGTTTATGAGATCGATATATAGACCATGACACAGAAAATATCAAGCTTAAAACCTTTAATCAAGATTGAGATCAAAATATACCTGGAATCTGACAAATAAGAGACATCAGCAATCCATAAGCATATCCAATCCATCCCAAACATTCCAGACGCACTCAAGTCTTAAACCTGCTGCAATCATCCTAATTTACTCATCAATTACCTTCCATTTGACAATATCATTCAATAATGTCTTAAATTCCTCCAATCCAAGCTTGCCTGAGTGATCGACATCTAACATTGCTACCATAGATCTGCAAATATCCTTTGAGAAGCCCTGACTCTCAGACACTAAATGATTAAGAGAAAAATAGAACAGGAGGAAATTGAAAAGCAGACATTAGAGGATGAACCCGACATATGATAAATAATAGATTAGGCATGGAAACAAAATTCTCGAACACAAAAGCGAAAAAAACGCACGAAAGCGGTGAAAGAATAAAGCGTCTCATATCGATACAACCAACAATTCTGTACGGATCTGGACGGCATATCCAGAATGCTTGCATCCTGCAAATGCTCACCATTTTGAATAGGAGTCATAAGAGGCGTGGCGGCAGTGTTATTGTTAATATTGTTTTCGTTTGGAGGTGGTCCAAACAATGTGGCCAAAGGCGTATCCTTGCATAATGAAGCACAAATCAATGCCAATAAATTGCCGCCACCCTCTTCTTGTTGTTGCTGTTGACCATTAACTTCAGCATATGATTGATAGCCATTCGTCGCTTGGGCCGCATCCGTGTGTTTCACTAATTCTAAAATGATATTATGACATGTGTTTCTCTTTTTTTGGATATCTTTTTTTTTTGTATAGCAATACTGGATGGTAATTTCTGGATTTACAAATTTCATTTTGAATAAATTTACATAACAACTTTTCTTTTACGACTAATGAGCAAAAAGGTTCTATTTTGATTATTGCTAGTGACCAGCCCGAGTGACACACATTTAGATGTCTTTCATATGATGATTTTATGGACAGGATGCTTAGAGTCAAGAGGTTGATAAAATGTTGCGTTGCTGACCAGAAAAGCTAAGATTCAATCCAGGGGGAAACAACATGATGGGGAATATCCATCATTTTCCTTAAAATCTTTCCCTCATCATGTTGTTATCCCTTCAGTGACAACTCAAAATCATCAAATATCTCTGATTCTAGAAACACTATCCATGTAACCACCATATGAATATCACTAAAAAGTGTGCAGACCGGGTGCCTCTATAGTTAATTTTGTAATTAAGATTATCATGTGTAATAATAATTGTGTGAGTGTATATGGTTAACATAAAGCATAGGAAATGATTACAAAGCGATTACATCTAAGTTAACACACACACGGACACGGAAAGTTTCACAAAATCGACTCTCGATGATTTAATTACCATTAATAACTAGTCATAGATTATTTGATAAAAGGTATTATGTATAAAATTATCATTAAAAAAGGAAGGTAGGTGGCAGTGATTGTGTGATTAGGAAAGTAATGGAGAACTTTACATCTAATCTATGTCCCTTTAACTTACCATCTCGCATGGAGTGATCTAGGATTCGCTTTAATTCCATCCAACCGACTTCCTGGTCCGGACCAGCCATGTCCATGAACAATTGCTCAATGGCTGATCTTTCAGGTGTTGGATCGCGAATATTTGGAAGATCACCCGCAATCTATAAAGTATATAAAAGTAAATATTAGTCAGGTTCTTTCTATATTAAAATAAGTATAAAATTCCTTACCCTTGAATCAACATCTCCAAGTCCAACAGTCTCGTCATTTTCACCAAACGTACTTTTACCCTCAGAAAAGACACGAATTAAAAATTCACCTTCTTCATTTGGCTCAAATGTGGATGGAACTATTAAATAATTTCCTGGTGAAAGCTTAAAACGGCAACTGACTTCACGAAGATTAATAAATGCTGGCGATCTTGCAACAGATGCATTGTACTTAAAGAAATTCATCTTCAATGGCTTTTGTGCCAAGTCACGTTCTGTGACACGATAAACTGCAAATCCAACTGTCAAGCAATCCAATCCAACGTTTCTTCTACTTCTACGATTCTTCTGCATCAATGCAACCAAGACTGTACATTTTCCATCATCATCATCCTCATCTGGATCTTCAAGTGTCATAACATATTGTGGATTACGATGGAAGCTATCAAGATAATTTCTGCAACCACCAGCTGATATGCCTGCTGCCCATTCACCCTCAAATACATTCATATTCCATTTCTTCTTCAATCCTGATTCCTGTTCTTCAGACAATGAGTCTGGTGACAAATTACAGATTTCCATGCGATCGAAATATTTCAAAAAGTCTCTGTAGGATATCCAGAATTCACCATCATGATCGAATGTCAGTCCAATCTCTTCTTTTGCATGGTCTGGGATATAGCGCCATTCTGCAGATTTATCACTCCATGGGCCATTCCATTCTACATCGTTACCCTAAAATTATTCAATAAGTCATGGTTGTAGAATTTTTCAAGTATCACTTAAAGTATTCAGCACTTACCCATGGATTTCTCAAACGTAATAATGGAATTTTGCCAGTCGTGTTTGGTGTGACTATGTCAACAAGTTGTGCTTTTGTAATTGAATAAGCATGACCACGAACTAAGCCTTGTGGTGTTTCAGCCTCATTAACATTAGGATCAGGCTCAATAGAACATCCCATCATGGAATTCCTTTCAAATCCTTTTTCGATAATATGAAAGAGATTTGATGGCGCTTCCTTAAGTTCATACATTTCAGTGACACCACCAGTAAAATCTTCAAGTGCCTCACATGTAGTACCTCCTTTCAATGCTTCATAACTGCCATGTAATTTAGCATATGCTTTTTCAAGCATTGCTGACCAGAATTCATTGTTTTCAGTTGAGTGCATGTATACAAGTTGTCCACGATATGTTGGCAAGCGATCATCAATAACAACATCTACCCATTTGCCATATTGCCAAAATCTATAATATACAAAAAGAGAATATTTGATTATGTCATTAAAAGATTGAATGTCCATGAGCTATAATTTACACATACCGAAAATGAAAAATACCGGCGTAGTTCTCTTCGAAGCTATTGTCATCACATACAACTCTAAAGAATAATTTTTGATCTTGTGTTAAATTTGCAGCTGCCGCAAGTAACCAACAGTCACCAAGTTCTCCCTGTTGAACATCAAATCGTGAATATCCTTCAACAAAAAATTGTGGATCATCAACGATTTCCATTGGCCGAAGCCATTCATAACGTCTATCAGCACGACGTGAGTAGAATAAGGATTTATCTGATGCTGGAAATTCTGGATCCTCAAATAATGATCCTGAATCAAGGCATTGTTGTCTAAGAGCATAAAAATCTTGAACATCTTTCTGTCCACGAAGTCCAGAAGCTCGTTCACCAACCTAAAAATGGAAAATTTATTGAAAATCAATTAAAGTAAATTAATAAAGATCTATTCACGAGATATATGGGATGACCATCAAATGTATATCGTCGAGTAATTGGCATCTTTGCCCACGCAATATGTTGCTTTCAACAAGTGGAACTGAACTAAACTGAATTTCATGATTAAAAAAGAAAGTCCTTCCATGGACATGACAGAAACTTGATTAACATAACTAAATTACAAAAAGGACAGTAACTTTACATATCACTTAATGGATTATTCTCATGACATTTTCATTCGGCGACGAACTTTTACAGCTTATCAGAGTTGCTGTCTTTGTGATATCTGTGATTAGATGCTATCAGTTTAAGGCAAAGTCATAGTGAAATGCATGCTCTGATAGTATGAGGAGAACAGAGAGAATCACATGACTAAGGATTATGGTACTGGTTTGAAGCTGTTTCTGTTATAGAATTTCAAATAGATTAAGCATGCCGAAGAAATCGATTCTAGGTTTCTAGACCATGGAATGGGTGTTAATGTCTATAAATCTTCCTGCAAACGAGGGAGCCAGTTGAGAATCGAATGCCTTGTCTGGTCCACTATGTCTGTGATTGACAGCTAGACAGCAGCTGATATAAATTTGCCATAGCTACTCATTCACAAGCAACTATCTATCAACCCTGCATCAATGTAATTTATTAAGTTTACTAGAGCTATTCCACGTTGTTCTCTGAATCATGTGTTGAAAAAAGGATATTAAGTGATGAAAACTATAATGCATTCCTTAACGTCTCAGCGGGTTTTACACAGCTTGGAAACACAATGCTATAAAGTTGGGAGACGAAAGTCTGAGCCAACTTCTTTCGCTTCGTTATTGATCAAATTGTTATAGAGTACAGAATCATGAATGAACTTCCCGAGTACGCGAATTAAAAGTGATAATTGAAGATGTTTTTTTTTCTAATCGAAAACACACACAGTGCTTATAAATGTTTCTATGTTTATTGGATCACTGCCAAATGCCGCTCCCATATAAAAGAATTTGAAATTATAAATTTTCTGGACTTGAATAAATCAAATCCTCAAGAGAGCGTAGTAAAGTGATAAGAGAAATGGACACGCCTGATGTGTCAAAAAATGTAATTTCTGAGGATGCAAATTAATGATTTACATGTAAATTACAGTTCGCATAAATAGACACTGAGGTATTATGTTCGACGACGGAATCTCAAGGTCAACAGTTACAAAAATGAAACATAAAGGTTCAGTTATATTTCAGACAGCGACAAACTCACAATTTTCATATTTTGAATGGATGGCAAAACTCGTTTTGACGGAGCTTCTTTCTTGATGACAAACATTTCGTTGATTGCCTGTCCAATGTACTCCTTAGCTGCTCCCATGACTACTTCACCAGCCTGATTGAGCAAATCCTTACCGATCGAGTCGATGTTGGACTTGAAAAAGCTCTAAAATTGGTCCGGTAAATTCATTATTGCACATCACCTCACTGACATTTTAATTTTCTTCTTATTGTAGATTCTCACCTGTAGCTGATCCATTGCTATTCTTTTATGCAAATATCTTTAGGTATGAGATTCAAGTTTTCTGGACAATATTCGAATACTTTTTTTTTTGTGAATGACCTGAGGAATTTCGTATGTATTTTAATTAAAAATGATTCTCACAACAGCAACAATATAATCACGACAAAAAGTAAATCAATTTATTTTCATCAAAATAAGCATATACACACACAAATGTGAATGATTTATTCCTACTGACAAGTGCTCTATGCATCATATAATTTTAATGTCACATTTTTTCATAATAATTTGCAATTAATGAGTAAAGAATTATAAATTCAGATTCCAAGATCAAGTTTATGACTAAATCATACAACCTGCTACGTAATCATTTACAAACTAAAGAGTTATTAATGATGAAACGCTTTAAAAATATGTTCGATTATTAGATGTGAGAATCAAACAAAAATGTTAAAGGAAGATCAATCCACACACAGCACCAGAAGTATATAAAAAAAACAACAACAGCACACAAAACTACATTAAAATTAGACACTCGATGATGTCATCAAAAAAAAAATAATATTGTAACTTTTCACGATGAAAATTTCAATTTTACAAGAAATTTTGCAGACTGAGGCGTGGACTTACTAAACAATTGGACAACTTTACTGTCTTACCAACTTTTAAAATAATTTTTATAAACACTAGTCACGATAAAATGTCACACTACGCAGCAATTAAGAGATTCTAATTTACAAACATCGCATTCTGCTTGTTTTCGGCAGAAAATCGATGAGTAAAGTGAAGATATCTTTAAAAAATATTTTTTCTTACAACAAACATCCAAGTCTGACTTTAACTTGAGAGAGTAAGCGCTCAGAGATTGGAAATGTCTTGACTAATGCGGCAAATATTTTCACACAATTCTCGATGTGCGCCTATGTTCAAGCTGAGTATGTATAAGTGAATTGAGAGAGAATTTTTATGCTGAGAATGTTGTGGAATTAGCAACTTGCGACTGTATGTGTGCGTACAAAGATGAGAATTTCCCAAATAAATTCAACACATGATTCATGAAAACAATGGAGAATAACTAAAGTTATGTTGAGGAAATGGCATTGCAGAGCTTTTATGCAGAATTGTGAAATAGCTAGTTTGCCATCACCATTTGATACATGAAATGTCAAGCCATATATAGGCAACCACGACGCAATAAACGACCTTGTGTAGTTTTTTATAGTAAAAGAAAGTTATGAACTTACCATGTGAACAATATAATGAGCAAAGGACATTGATCCAGCTTGTTTGGTCTGGAAAGCATTTTCCTCGACACCCGGATCACTGTTATCATCTTCAGGAGTATGATATGATGGCTGTGAATATGGCTGTGGCATTGGCATTGCAGGATTTGGAGGAGCTTGACCTCCTAAGTTCCATCCGAAGTTTGATGAGCCAGAAGGGTAATTTGGATCTAAAATTGATAATGTGAGGAGTAAGAATTGGTCTTTAGGAATTGTTCAAATGTGTCTGCTTTAGTTTTAGGGACAAAGGAGCTTCTCATCAAACGATCTTAGGTAAATTGTCATTTTCAACATTATGAAGCAATTGAAGACAAAGAAAAGATGAAAGTAGCAATATAAAGCTTCCTAGTGTTACTTAACAACTGAATGACTTATCGACATTGATTCTTAATTAACATACCTGCATTATTTTGTTGATTATTGTTGACATTCCATCCAAAGCCTTGATCTAAACCGCCCGTGCTTTGGTTCTGGTTGAACGACCACATTATTTACTATTAGTGATTATTTTTGGCACGACACGAATATGACTAGATAATTTATTAAAAGTCCGCGATGACTTTTTCCCGCGATTCTCAGAAAAATAAAGGAAATCGACGTTGCGAATTTAAAAGATTTTCACGATACACGGACGCAGTGGCGATTGAATGGCGTTTAAATTACTCAAAAGATATTTTGAGAAGTGCAAAAAGTCGAAAAATTTAAACCAGATTGAACTTTTAGTGCAAAATAAACAATTAATAATATCGCGAAAAACTACTTACGAAGCGACGGTAGAAAATGAACTAAAAGCAATACACAGATTTACTCAATTTCCTTGCTCACACTACTCACTTCTCTCTCTTAAAATGTCTTGTATGATAATAAAAGAAATAAGAAACATTGGGAGAGTGCATCAGCAAAATGTTTATTGTTTCCGAATGTAGTATTTTTTGCGGCTCAATTTTTTATTTGATTTTTATTTTTTACATGAACGACTTTTTTCTCGTAATTAAAAATAGCAACAAGGATGGAAATCAATTCCGTATTGAAAATTGTCAGTTCTCTCTTGTGGAAATAAAATTATTTGCAAATTTCATTAATTTATTATCGATTTTTTGGAAATGTCGTAAATTTGATCACGCACAGTCGATGTCGTAGCGATTATACTTTTAATCTTCGTTAAATGCTTCAATAAACAAATCTAGTTTACAGCATATGTTGATACTCCACAAGTTGAAAGGGAAAAAATCGTGGATGTAAATAGGTTTGAATCATCATGACATTTTTGAGAATTCTGTCGCATTTGGATTTATTCCAATGACTTTACAAGCTATTGCATTTTGTAAATTTTCCAAATAACTATGACACATAAAAATTTTTAATGTACAAAGTCGCCCACAAGTCTTGATAAAAAGCTACAAAAATCTGCAAGATACCGAATCGTCATTCGAAAGATTGATTTTACTATGATGACAAAGCAACAGGTTTTTTTGCAAAGAGTTTTTTTTCTCATTTTATGATAGGGGCCGTTCACTTATTACGTTAGGCAAAAAAACGACTTTTTTCACCCCCCCTTCCCCCCCCCCCCTTGTTACAATATGTTACAACTTACACCCCCCCCCCCTCCCCTGAACGTTCATAATTTATTTTATTTTGATTATTTTTCATAAATAATTAAAAAGGTTGAAAATTTAAAAAAATGTTTTTGGTGTGAATTTGTAAACAAATCTTTTTTAAAAGATAGACGACAGAGTTTGAATGTTACATACTTCTTGACACCCCCCCCCCCCTTCCCCCCCCCCATGTTACATTTTGTTACAACTTTTCAAACCCCGCCCTCCCCCCTAAAAAGCGAACACAATAAGTGAACGGCCCCATAAGTGTTAATTCATTAATTCACAAAGCAATTGAAATAAAATGAACAAAAACTCTTCTTTAAAACACTTGAAATTAATCAGAAAATGATTTTGTGATTGAAATTAATCAATTGTATGATTTTCTTTTGATTTATATATTAATGTTGGAGTATCTTGATTTAGGTAAAACCAGAATGCAAAATGGATCCTTGAGACAAAAATGAATTCTTGGTTCATTTCAAACCCAACATGATTATTAATAAATTGATATAGATTGATATTAATAAATATAAATTCAATTCAACAAAAAATTTCAAGATTTTGATTAAACATTAAAATTTTTTCGAAAAAATAGTGCTTCACACTCTCTACGTATCCAATTTCTGCTTATCAATGTGTTTATGGTTGTTTTGTCAATTCCTTTGAGTGACAATAAATGATATCAATTTATCAAATAAACTCTTTTAGATAATAAACTTTGTCTCCATATAAATGAATATATGAAAGATTGAAACTAGTTTTTTAACTTCTTTGTACTTAAGGTATTAAAAGTTTGCATTAATAAATTATTAGTAATTTAAACTGCAATTCATTTCAACTCACCAAAAATGAATAAAATCAAATTAAAATGTAAATTTTTCAAACCAAAAACAAAATAATAAAGTGAAATATACCGCAAAAAATTAATTTGCATAGCACTGATCTATCTCAACAAAAAACAAGGTGAGCTTTAAAGTTTGATATGATATTTTTGAATAATGTAGCCAGAAGCGGAACTAGAACTTTTTCAGAAAATGGTTTTCAATTTATTTTTATGTCAGCAGAATCGAAAACTCTACCAAATTGAAGAAGATTTCCAGGCAACTCAGCAACATTGCTTGGACAGAAACATTGTTCCACGTGTCTGAAATCTAGAAAAGGAAAGAAGTCTTCGAGAATTTAGAATCTACTTTCTACAGAATATTTTGTCAACTTAATGTTACTATATGCGCAGACAGCTATAGTAAGTTTATTTTATTTTAATTCTTTTATTCAACAAGTAGAAATAGCAAGAATTTTCATCTGCAGACTGCAGCAGACTTTCTTACTTATAAATATTTTATGTTTCTTAAGAATTTTCAGATTTTTGCAATTCAAATTTTGCATCGGCACTATTAAATTATCATGAACGCCTTAATAAGATTTTTATCAAATATAAACAAAACCTGTAGAGAATTTTTTGGAGATTGTTATACAATTTGATGTCTATTGAGTCAAATTAAATTTAAATATTTGCTGATAGATTATTATATGTCATTTAATGTCTCCCATTGCAAAAGTTTTAAGTCCACTAAGGGGCCATTCACTTATTACGTAACGCTTTTAGGGGGAGGGGGGGGTCTAAGATTTTGTTACGGTTCAAACAAGGAAATTTTTTTTTCATACAAATTTTGTTACGAGGGGGGGGGGGGGTCTAAGAAGTCATTTTTTCGCGTTACGTAATAAGTGAACAGCCCCTAAGATAAAGCAATAATTAACTCCAGTAGTACTTAACTATAAGCAATACTTAATGGTTCTAAACTTCGTGATTGATGATGCGTTGATGATGGACACTGATTATTCACACAGTCTAAAATAAGGCCTGTGTGAAGTACGCCGGTCCAAGTTCGAATTTCGAGCAAGAATGAATTCAAGAAGTTCTATGCAAAAACTTTTATGTTATGTACTTCATTTATTATTTATCAAGTTCACAGTGATAACATTCTGGTCTCGTCAAGTTATTGTGTATGGTCAGAATATTTTGGTTTTAATATCAAATTAAATCATGTGAATCTAATTGGGTCAAATCAAAAATATATAAAACCAAATTTTACTAAAATTTGCATTAGTCAAGTTTAAGCTTTTGAAGCCTGAACATTACTTTAAAGATGGATTTAGAGAATTTAAGATATAAATATTTTTTGACTGAAATTTTTGTGGTAAGCAGAACGCTTTATTCAAAGTTCACATAAAAAACATTTGATTCATCTCAGTTAGGTCAAAAAGCTGCAGGTGTCCGTGGATTTAACAACATTCAAGACTATTACACGATTCAAAGGCAATGCCTTGAATCTGGAAAATTATTTGAAGATCCAGAATTTCCACCAACTGGAAATTGGCTTCGTCCACATGAAATTTGCAAAAATCAAGGATTTGGCAGTCCCAAGTTTTTCATTGACAGCGTTTCACGATTTGACATTAAACAAGGAAGATTGGGTGATTGCTGGTTCCTTGCAGCGATGGCAGCCGTAACGGCAAGTCGAGCTAAGTTTAATAGAATCGTCTGCAAAGATAATAGCTTTGATGAAAATTATGCTGGGATCTTCCATTTCCGGTATGTAAAATAAATTTTACTTAAACATCAAGTGATTTTAAATGTTCTATAGATTCTGGCTATACGGCAAATGGGTAGAAGTAGTCGTCGATGATCGCTTACCAGTCAATATATTTGGTCAGTTGGATTGTTTGCGTTCGAATGAGCCAAACGAATTTTGGTCAGCACTACTTGAAAAGGCATATGCAAAAGTATTTGGAGGATATAAAGCACTAGAAGCTGGAGTTTCATGTGATGCTTTTGAGGATTTTTCAGGTGGAGTTTCGGAAATTTTCAACTTGAGTAATCCACCGAAAAATATGTTTGCAATAATGCAAAAGGCAATAAAGCGAAGATCGTTGATGGCATGTTCCCTCAAACCAGATCCAAAGCAGACCGAAGCTATTGGCTCAAATGGATTGATTCAAGGTCATGCATATACTGTCACGGATGCTAAAACAATCGATATTCATATAAGTGGAGAAGTCATCAATGTGGATCTCGTCCGCTTGAGAAATCCATGGGGTACAAAAGAATGGAATGGATCGTGGAGTGATGGAAAGGTAGAATGGCAATTGCTGACAAGTGATCAAAGGAAAGAATTGGAGATTAAAAATGAAGAAGATGGTGAATTTTGGATGTCTTATGATGATTTTATTTCATATTTTGAACGATTGGATTTATGTAACACAACTGCTCAGTCATTGGATGAAGAAAGGCGAGAGGATTATACTTGGCATACAAAATCTTATGATGGTGCTTGGATTAAAGGCAAAACAGCTGGTGGATGCAAAAATAACAGAGAAACTTTTCAAAATAATCCTCAATATATTGTCACATTAACGACTGATGACGTTACTTACAATCAAGGACGTTGTAACCTTATGATTTCATTGATGCAAAAATATGGAAGAAGCACCACATCTAGACCGAATTATTTCAATATAGGATTTGCTGTCTTTCGTCTCGATGAATCATATCTTAAGAATATTTCTTTAAGGAACACATTCATCACTTATACTAACCCAGCTGAACGAACAACATTCATAAATTCACGTGGTGTTACAGCTCGTTACAAATTAGAGCCTGGACATTACTTAATTGTTCCATCTACATTCCACAAAGATCAAGAAAATGAATTTTTATTGCGTGTGAGCTACGAGAAAAAAATTGATAAAAATAAATTAAAAGTTGTGACTTTCAAAGAATTAAACGAGCATTTGGAGGATACAGGAAATTTTATAACGGTAAGAACTTCTTAGAGATAATAAATTCTTTAAGTAAATAATTTTTGCAGGGAGACAATTTCACACCATGCAAAGCTGATGACTTTAAATCATGCAATATGACACCTGGTGAACCTCCAAGCAACAAATCTCAATCTTCTGAGACGCAGAAAATTGAAAAATTATTTTCAGATGCTGCTGGATCTAATGAAGAAATTGGTTGGCTGGAATTGAAAACTATCCTTGATAGTTCTATACCAGAAGGTAAAATGTTATATTTCTAAGGTCGTAGCTGTAATAAATTCACTTCTTTTATATTCCAGAGAGTCGTACTAAAGGTTTCTATTCTGATTATAAGAATGATGGGTTCTCTAGAGACATTTGCCGTTCAATAATAGCAATGATGGACACTGACAACTCTCGAAAGCTTAGTATGGGAGAATTCAAGAAGTTTTATGCTACATTCACTAAATGGAAGGTGCGTACATGTAATTCATATTACTACAAGAGGAAAACAACATGATTGGAAATGTTCCATCAATACCACGTTGTTTTTTCCTTGCCTTAATGTCTAGCTAATCTTCTTCTTCATTCAGAATGCATTCGAAAAGTTCAATAAATCAGGAACATGGAAGTTATCACCATCAGAATTACTTGGTGCTCTTGAATCACTAGAACTGAACATCAGTATAAGGGTTATCAACTTATTGGTTTATCGCTATGGAACTCCATACAATACGCTTCTATTTGAGGACTTTATCATGTGTGCTGTTAAAGTTTCACACATGGTTGAGAGATTTAATGAAAAAGCAGGAGAAAACAAGGATAATGCAACTTTTAATATGGACGATTGGATTGCAACAACACTTTATGCATAGATTTATATGTCTTTGGATCTTGGATGATTATATGAATTTGTCTTAATTGAGTTAATAAATAAGTTATTGAGAGTTTGGAATTTTTATTTTTGTTTTTTTAGAGCTATAAGCTCGAGTACTCACCGATTTGTAGCTTTGTGGTAGGGGAGTGTTAATTCTATCTATATACTTTTGAGTTTTGCAATTTTTGCATCGCATCACGATTGATTCAAGTTTTTAAATGAAACAAATTAGACCAAAATTAACATAAAGCGAGACTAGCTCAACAAAATCTTACGAGTGCGATGATTAAAAGTTATATAATCAAAAAATTCTTCAGCAATAAACTAAGCTTTAATATCGAATATTTTTGACCACAAAGAGATCCTCCTCCCCCAATCCTACCTTAACTACAATAATGGACGAGTTTTGCGAATAAGCCATAAAAAATTTAAATTCAAAATTATCAAACTTGATGCTGCTTGATGCGTTGAAAAATTCTATGATAAAAAAGAATACAAGAATAATTTTATTAGCTAAATATTCAGGTTTAGATGCCAAAAGAATAAACTAATGAAGTCTATCCACAACATTTAAAAGCCAAATTTGTTGAAAATTAATTTAGTCAAGATATAGCTTCTGAAGACAAAACATGGACTTGGAGAATATTAGATATCGATATTTTTCACGTGAAATATTCGTGGTAAGTTGGCATGTTCAATTCTTTAACTTCTCAGTTCATGAAAAATTATTTTATCCCAGCTTGGTCAAAAGGCAGCAGGAGTTCGTGGATTTAACAACGTCCAAGACTATTACACTATTCAAAAGCAATGCCTTGAGTCTGGAAAATTGTTTGAAGATCCAGAATTTCCACCAACTGGAAATTGGCTTCGTCCACATGAAATTTGCAAAAATCTTGGAATCGCTAGTCCTCAATTTTTCGTGGACAGCGTGTCTCGATTTGATATAAAGCAAGGAAGATTGGGTGATTGTTGGTTCCTTGCAGCAATGGCACCTCTGACATCAAGTAAACTTATGATCAACCAAATTGTCTGCAAGGATAACAGCTTTGATGAAAATTATGCTGGGATCTTTCATTTTCGGTATGTATAGCCTTTAAACATTCTTTCTTTATTCTGACTAAATCTGAACAGCTTTTGGGTGAACGGAAAGTTTGTGGAAGTAGTCGTTGACGATCGTTTACCAGTCAATCAATTTGGTCAGTTAAATTGTTTGCGATCGAATGAACCAAATGAATTTTGGTCAGCACTACTTGAAAAGGCATATGCAAAATTATTTGGAGGATATGAAGCACTAGACGGTGGACTTCCTTATGAAGCCTTTGAAGATTTTACAGGAGGCATTTCGGAAATTTTCGATTTAAAAACTGCACCAAAAAATCTGTTTGAAATAATGGGAGTAGCTGTAAGAAGAGGTTCCATGATGGCATGTTCTGTAAATCCAGATCCAAATATAAGAGAAGCAGTTCTTCCAAACGGGTTAGTTCAAGGTCATGCATATTCTGTGACAGGTGTTAAAACTGTTGATGTTGAGATGCAAGGTGACAAATACAGCATCGATTTAATACGATTGAGAAATCCATGGGGTCAAGGTGAATGGAAAGGATCATGGAGTGATGACTCTGTAGAATGGAAAATGATTTCGGAAGATCAGAAAAAAGAATTGGGTATTACGATCGAGCAAGATGGTGAGTTTTGGATGTCTTATCAAGACTTTATCTCATACTATGAAAGGTTGGATATATGCAATGTCTCACCACATTCATTGCATGACGACAAGCGCAAAGAAAACTTTTGGGATAGAAAATTTTATGATGGAGCATGGGTTAAAGGTTCTTCAGCTGGTGGATGTAGAAATCATATTGATACTTTCCATACAAATCCACAGTATGTAATGACACTAAAGAATGCAGATGAAACTGATCCAAAAGGACGTTGCAATGTCTTGATTGCATTAATGCAAAAGAATGGAAGAAGCAAGGAAAAAGGATCACATTACGTTCCAATGGGATTCTCTGTTTATCGTATTCAGGAACAGCATTTAGATCAAGTTCCCCTAAAGAATGAATTCTTCAGATATAATGGATCGATAGAGCAAACAACATTTGTAAATTCACGTGGAATCACTGCTCGTTATAAGCTTGAACCAGGACATTATTTGATTGTTCCATCTACATTCTACCAAAATGTTGAAGCTGAATTTTTACTTCGTGTGTGCACTGAAAAGAATGAAGCCTTCGATTGGGAAGAGTTTGAAAAATACAGAGAAAAGAATAAAGATAACAAACGTCGATCAAAGTTCACGCCAGTAAGAGCCATTAAAATTTGAAATTATTATTTTTCATAAGCATTAATCTCCACAGAGCTTCAAGCCATGCAAACCAGAAGATTTTCTTCCATCAAATAATATGAGTGATAATGAATCTGAAACTAAAGATCCTGCTGTGTCTAAAGATCAACCTTCTGTTAAACCCGCAGTCAAGGAACCAACAGAGATGCAATTAGTCGAAAAATTGTTCAAGGATGCAGCTGGATCGAAAGAAGAAATCGATTGGATGGAGTTGAAGGCAATACTCGATGGTTCTATACCGAAAGGTAAATTCGAATTTTTTAAGTATTAATAAGAATGTTTAATGACTTTAATACTTCCAGAAAGTCGCGTTAAAGGTATTTACTCTGATTATAAGAATGATGGATTCTCTAGGGATATTTGCCGCTCAATAATAGCAATGATGGACACTGATTATTCTCGCAAGTTAAAACTGGATGAGTTCAAAAAGTTTTATGCTACTTTTATAAAATGGAGGGTATGGAATCTACAATCCTAGTTGACATGATCAATAAATTTAATTTTTTGTATTAGGATGCATTTGAAAAGTACAACAATCCTAAAACATGGAAATTGTCACCGCAACAATTATTTGATACACTCAAATTAGTTGGATTTGATCTTGATGCAAGAGTTATCAACATGTTAATTTATCGTTATGGAACTCCATACAACACTCTCCTTTTTGAGGATTTCATCATGTGTGCAGTTAAAGTCACAACTATGATCGAGCGATTTAAGGAAAAGGCAATGGGCAATAAAGATAATGCAATGTTCTCTATGGATGATTGGATCGTGACAACACTTTATTCATAAAAATTTGTTAAAGTTTTGAATTTTAAGATTTTATGATTCCAGTTCCATAATTTTTGTTAAATTTTAGAATTTTAAGATTTTATGATTCCAGTTCCATAATTTTTGTTAAATTTTAGAATTTTAAGATTTTATGATTCAAGTTTCTAAATTTGATTTTGAATTTTGTGAAATTTAAGCTTGTTAAATTAATAAACTTCTGTATTTTGGATTTGTTAAAAAAATTGTTTGTTCAACTTAAATTCTTTGAATTAATGGATTATCTATAAAAGAATCTGCAGTTCTTTACCATGATGTCTTTATTGCAAAATAAATTTAGATAAAAATCGATTCTAAACTTCCAATGTCCAACAAGTTTGGAATGAAAGAACTCTCAATTAAATGCTGTGTATTTATTGAGCAAAAGAAGACGCTTTTATAGTTTAAATATTTAAATTTTTGCAATTCTTTCTTCAAATCAGCATTCAGAATGATCAAATTAAAATGCTGGAATAAATTTTGTCAAAAATAGAAATTTTTTTAGATAAAATTCAAATTAAGCTTTAAAATTTGCATTCTATGAGACTGGATCAATGAAATCTTTCGTGAGATTTTGAAAATGTTATGTAAGTCTTTCGTTGAAGCTTGGAATGAGTTAACAACATATAGGATAGTAACAAATATCTTGAAGAGTCTTATTTGATACAAACTTGACTTCTTTGATTTATTGTTTCTAATTTCTGAGTTTAAACAATGTTGGTGCATCTTGATTACTACTCAGATTTTCAGCAGATGTCTGTCAAATTTTCTTGAAATAAAGGATTAGTTCATTTCATTCATTATTTAAGTAAAGCTTCAATCTAATCCCAAAACTTTAATTTCCAGTGTGAAAAGAATGCAGTGATGCAGAAAATATATTCAAATAAGCCAGTTCTTAAAGAGTTTTGTTCAGTATCAAACTAGCTTTTGACAGTAAACACAGAATGCAAAATCGAAGATATACTTTTGATGATCAGCCAATTTATTTGGTAATTACTTTCAAGCTTTATTTGTTGTTTGAAATTTCTCATCTCTGTTCTTTCAGTTAGGCGAGCGTGCATGTGGTGTTCGTGGCTATAATAATATTCAAGACTTTTATGTCATTCGGAAACAATGTCTTGACACTGGAACCTTATTTAATGATCCTGAATTTCACCTATCTGGGAGATGTGTTCGACCTAAGGATATTTGTGATAATCCTTTATTCTTAATCAATAAAACTTCAAGTTTTGATGTGCGGCAAGGTAGACTAAGTGAATTTTGGTTCCTTTCAGCTGTTGCAAGTTTATCATTAAATGAGAAATTATTCAATCGAGTTGTGTGTGATGACAATAGCTTTGATAATAATTATGCTGGCATTTTTCATTTTCGGTATGTAAAATCTTTGTTGTCATCCACAATACCACAGTCATTAGATCCATTAATGTTCCAAACAGGTTTTGGCAATATGCAAGATGGGTAGATGTAGTCATTGACGATCGTTTACCAGCAAATGGAAATGAATTAGTAAACTTGCACTCAACACAAAGAAATGAATTTTGGTTATGCTTACTTGAGAAGGCATATGCAAAACTTTATGGAAGCTATGAAGCGCTTCATGCTGGAATGTCATGTGAAGCATTTGAAGACTTTACTGGTGGAGTATCTGAAATTTATAACCTTAAAGGAGTACAGAATAATTTTTATGGCCTTATTGAAAAAGCTTTTGAAAGGCACTCAATGATAACTTGTTTCAAGAATGAAGCTGCTGAAGGATTAATTCGAATTCATGCTTATTCCATTATTAAGGTTAAATCATTCCAGATTCCGAATAAGGAAGAAAAACTTCAATTGTTGCAGTTTAGAAATTCATCGGTAAGTTCAAGTCATTTTAGACAAACCTTATTAGCACTATATAAAAGCATGAATAATATCACTCGGGAATGCTATTGTGTTTCAGAATTAAGAATCAATTGTTTAATAGTCAACAATTCTTGAAATAAACAACAGCCTTGATGCTACAAAAGCTTTTACAATAGCATTTAAATTATTAATAAACAGGTTTTTTCCAATTTTTAGGAAGACGAAACTGAATGGATCAAAACTTTGAATAACAAACCTCAAGTTTGGCACAAATTTCTAGAAAATGAGAAAAAGCTAATCGGACTAACAGTTGAACATGATAATGAATTTTGGATATCATATCAAGATTTTATAAAGCACTTTGATAGACTTGATATATGCATCTTATCTGCATCATCATTAGAACTTGAAAAAGACAGCATAAAATGTGATTTAAGTCTTTTTGAAGGACAATGGATGAAAGAATTCTCAGCTGGTGGTTGTAACAACAATGACGAAACATTTCACTTAAATCCACAATACGTTTTAACATTGGAGAGTTCAACTGATTCTGAAGAACATTGTCAGGTCACAATAACACTAATTCAGAAAAACCGAAGAACCAGAGAATCGACTCCACCTCAATTTCTTGTCATAGGATTCTCAATTTACTGTGTATCTGAGCTGCAACTTCAACAAAAACCATTTAAAAAAGAATTTTTTGAAACAACTCATTGCCACCATGCCGTAAAATTTACAAACTCCCGCCGAGTCACTGATAATTGCAATCTCTCAGCTGGAAACTACGTGATTGTTCCATCGACTTTTGATCCTAATGAAGAAGGGGAATTTGTACTTCGTGTTTATTCTGATAATAAACATACATTGAAAGAACATGATAAAGATGTCGAAATCAAGAAAGTTAATCCAAAAGTAATATTAAGTTTCAAAGTTTATATGCTGTCAATTGATTTTATTAATTTAAGATTGTTGAAGCCCACAAAGTTGAAAAGTTGTTTTTCGATGCTGCAAATTCAAATCAAGAAGTAGGATGGGGTGAGTTGAAGATAATTCTTGACAGTTCCATACCAAAAGGTAAATAAGAGATTTTTTATTGACTAATCTTAGACTTATTACTTACAACCTCCTATGCCAATTTGCATTAAAATAAAATTCATTTGTTAGATATTCAGCAAAGCGGTGAGTAGCTACTAATAAATTAATCATTTCACCATTTTAAACTGAATAATTAAAATCTCAAAAGGTTAAAAATTTAATTTATATTTCAGGTAATTCTGAAGGTTTTTCCAGAGAAAATTGTCGATCATTAGTAGCAATGATGGACATTGACTTATCCAGGCATGTTAAATTGAAAGAATTCGAAAAATTCTACAGTTATTATAAGCTATGGAAGGTTTGTAGTAAATATTGAATCATAATTAGATTTTAATCCATATTTTGGAATTCCAGTCTGCTTTCAAAACATTCAACAAAAATGAAAATCATAAACTCAATCCTTTAGAGTTTCGTGACGCCTTGGAATCAATTGGATTTTACTTTGGCGCACAGATAATTTACTCATTGATTTATCAGTATGGAAATGACTTTAATACAGTTTCATATATAGATTTTATCATGTGTGCAGTTAAGATTCAAACATTGATTGATATTTTCGAAAAGAAGACTAAAGAAGATCAGGCTAGATTTACATTGGAAGAATGGATCATGTCTACAATTTATCCATAAAATTTTGACTTTAATTCAGAATATTTTTTGAAGATTTTTGGAAACTTATTTAAGATTAGTAAAGTATTAAGTGTCTAATAAAATCGAAATTTTCAAATCTATCACTTAGTCTTAAAACTATTTGTTGCTTCAAACCTCCTATAACAGTTCAAGTGATGCAAAACCAGCTCGTAATGTTGAAAATTCACAAGATTTATTACTGTTCACATGTCATCAAGGATTATTAAACGATGACGTTAATAACAACTCGTTATTTGAAATTTCGATCACTTAAAATTCCACAGGATCAATGGTGGAATTAGCTATGAAACGTTTTTTTTTTTTGTTCACACAGCATTAAAAGTTTGTATTAAAAAATCCAGTTTTGCATGTTCTGTTGTTTGATGAAACGAAAAATAATCTCTTGCTTAGTAGTGATCGAACTGCTGGAGAGTAAACAGCTAAAAAAATGAGCAAGCGAAAATACACATTTGATGGACATCCAATTTACTTGGTAAATATAAATAAGATATTTTATAGATTTCTGATTTTTAATTCATTAAATTTTTACAATCTTCAAGCTAGGGCAACGAGGATCAGGTTCACGAAGTCGTAAAAATGTTCAAGATTTTTATAAAATTCAACAAAAATGTCTAGAATCGGGAAAGTTATTTGAAGATCCTGAATTTCCAGCTACAAATGATAGTCTGTTCCATTCCTACACATCAGCTGCACGCTTTGAGTGGCTCCGACCGAAAGAAATTTGCAAAGATCCAAAATTCTTTGTTGATGGATATTCCAGATTTGATGTAAGACAAGGCGACCTTGGTGATTGCTGGCTACTTGCAGCAACAGCAAATTTAACATTAAATCCAAAAGTGTTCTTCCGTGTCGTCTGCGAAGACAACAGTTTTGATGAGAACTACGCCGGCGTTTTTCATTTTCGGTATGTGTGAATCATTTTGTTATTATTGGCAATTCCCCACGTGTACGACTTTATGAATGATTTTTTTATTATCTTACGTCAGATTCTGGAGGTATGGTAAATGGATAGACATTGCTATTGACGATCGTTTGCCGACTCATAGTGGTAAATTAATAAATATGCACTCAACGGAAAAGAATGAGTTTTGGTCAGCACTTCTTGAGAAAGCATATGCAAAGTTATATGGAAGTTATGAAGCTCTTAAAGGTGGCAATGCGTCAGAAGCATTTGAAGATTTTACGGGTGGAATTTCAGAGTTGTACACATTGAAAGAAGCACCATCAAACCTGTTTAATATTTTAGAAAAAGCATATAGCAGAAGTTCAATGATGTCGTGCTCAATAGAACCAGATCATAATATTATTGAGGCAGAGACACCTGAAGGATTAGTAAAAGGCCATGCGTACTCAATTACAAAAGTTAAAATGATTGATATCAATCTGCCACATAAGAAAGGCAAGATTCAGCTACTGCGACTAAGAAATCCATGGGTAAGTGTTAAAATTCGCTAGCATTAAGATATAACGTATGCAAATTTATAGTCGTGTGTTATCGTAAACAGCACGTATATCCCAAAACACGATCAGAAAACAAGTTTTTAATTTTTGTGTTGAGAATTTTTGCGTCACGAAAAAATTATCATTTAAAATTTGTATTGTGCATTTATGCTTATTAAGATTCAGAAAAAAATGTTAATGCTTTGAATGGAAAGGTTAGAATTGTTAAAAATATGTAGCATTGCGGGGATGTATCCGTCGTATCATCATCACAATAGTGTATTCTTGTCATCATCCAAATCGTGCAGATTTTAACAAATTATGTTTCAAATTTAAACTTTATGTATTTTGTTTACAAACACAACAATCAATTTTTGAATTAAGACATTTTAAATTAAGAACGACCGTTATTTTCGTATCAAGTTTTTAAATTCAAAATGTTCGTTATTTTATGAGTTTCTTTAAAGATTTTATTTAAATCATTGAAACTCATTATTTTTATGTATTTATGTAAAGGTTTTTTATGCCTGTACAATTGTCACTGATATGTAGTGCAATTTATGGGCTTTTTCCTTTAAAACAAGAGAAAGTATAATAATAAATAATAATAATAATAATAATAATTGCTAGTTTATAGACATTCAACAGGTTTTATACTTTTGGAAATTTAGAACAAGATACTTTTGAGCAATTAGATTGATTTAGATTATAATGCAAAGATTTAAGCCAAAAAATTGTTAACTAAGCTGGTTGACAAAACCAGCATAAAACTCAAGCTAAGATTATAGAGAAGTTTAAAATTTATCTTACTGGATTTTAATTTCTAAATTTTGCAAGATCTCAGATCAAGTCTTCAAAACTTTGCTTTTATTTCCTGAATTTTAACAAGCAAAACAATCAAGAACTGTTTCAAATTGTCAGAGAAATCATAAAAATGTCCCTCCTTTTTATTCTTTGACAATTCTAACCTTAATAGAATGCTGGAAATCCCGCAAAAATTCATTTCGTCATTAATTTAAACTTGCCATTTCAATTTTTTCCCGATTCTATCAGCAACTTTTGCAAAAAAATAAACATTCGCATAAGCTGTACTTAATTTATACATTTCCTACGAACAATCGGATTGTCCCAATAAATACAATTGAACTTGGATATTCCACTAATGAATCACTCATTGCATGTCTAGGTTAATAATCTTTCAAACTATTACACAATATCGTAACATTGCATTTAATCTATAATTTATCAAAGCTGCAATTAATTGATCTTTTGATCTTTATTTTATTGATGTTCCGCGTCATCTTAACTCCGTTTGTGATTAATGTTCGAGATTTTATTGCTTATACTTTGTATGTTCATAGTAAATAACGTTTGTTGAAATTTTCTCATAGGGAGACGAATTTGAATGGAATGGGGCATGGAGCGATAAGTCGCGCGAATGGCAATTCATACCAGATTATGAGAAGGAAGAAATTGGATTGACATTCGACAGAGATGGAGAGTTTTGGATATCATATAAAGACTTTCTTAAGTATTTTGATAAACTAGATATGTGCAATTTGTCACCAGATTCTCTTGTGGATGAGACTGAAAAGTCAACATGTATGAAATGGAATTTAAATGTCTATGAAGGTGAATGGATTAAAGGCATATCAGCTGGTGGATGTAGGAACAATATTGATACCTTTCATCGAAATCCACAATACACAATGAAACTTGAACATCCAGATGAAGATGATGCAGACGGTAATTGTTCAGTTGTCATTGCTTTAATGCAGAAACATCGAAGAAGTCGTAAAATCATCGGATCTAACTTTCTTACAATTGGATTCGCAATTTATCGTATTCAAGGACAAGAGCTTGAAGAGAAACCGCTCAAAAATCACTTTTTCAAAACAACTGCATCAATCTCAAGGTCAACATTCTTAAATATGCGCGGCGTTAGTGGTCGATTTAAATTTAAGCCTGGAAATTACTTAATCGTCCCATCAACATTTGAACCAGACAAGGAAGGAGAATTTCTCATTCGCATATATTCTGAAAATAAGTATGCATTTGAGGAACATGATGAAACATGTGGAATTGGTGAAGTTGATGCTAGGGTAAGTTGAACAACTAGCTAGATTTTGCCTTGACGTACAACTATCCTTATTTTATTTTGTTATAGATCTCCGGCAAGTTCGATAACTTTCAAGCTCCATCTCCCGAGACACTTACTATTGAGAAATTATTCATGGAATTGGCTGGTGAAAATGAGGAAATTGGTTGGAAAGAATTGAAGCAAATTCTTGATCATTGCATACCAAAAGAAATTCAGAACAAAACCACTAATGGTGTTCAAACCAATGGATTTCAAAATGGTAAGGAACACGTTCAATTGCATTAGAATTTTACTTAAAATCTCTCAAATCATAGGAAATCATTCAGAGTACGAGAATCAAGGATTTTCCAAAGACATTTGTCGATCAATAGTTGCAATGCTAGATCTTGATCGTTCCGGACAGCTTGGATTGGAAGAATTCAGAGTGTTCTTACTAGAATATGCAAAATGGAGGGTAATAAACTGCAAAACTTTTTTAATACCTTTACTTTACTAATTTCCTTACTCTTTTACATAACAGGCTGTGTTTACTTTATATGACAAAGACAATAACCATAAACTAGATGCATTTGAGTTGCGCGATGCATTAGGATCAGCTGGATATCGCCTAAATCATCATATAATTAACACATTAATTTATCGCTATGGATCTGGAAGCCAAGGAATTCCATTTGAAGATTTCATCATGTGTGCAGTCAAAGTTAAGACAATGCTTGATCATTTCAAAGAAAAAGATCATGGAAATAAGAATGAAGTCATGTTCTCAGTGAATGAGTGGATTATGAGAGCACTTTACTCGTAGATTTAAAGACTAGCTTATGATATTAAATATCGTTTATTTGTTAATATCCAGCTATCTGGATGTTAATGTTAATATTGATTGAAATGTCTTCAAATTTATTATTTGCACTAGGTGCTACCTTTGACACTTTACTGTACAAAAGAATTAAAGTTAAGCATTTAAATATTTTCTTAAGAAAATTATCACTCATGTGTTTATTTGGATAGTCTACAAATATTAAATTTATGTACTTAAGCGACCTCTTGGAATCAAATATTGATCTGAATTGTTCTCAAAACTGACTGATTGCTCACTTATTTCACTTTGGTCTACAACAAGATCTTTATTGCAACCACATGATCCAGTACGTCTAAAATTATGTCTATGATGTGGTCTTCTAGTTGTTGACCTAGCACAGTCATGATTTGCAGTCTCGGAATTTTTGACGACAACATATCTTGGCTTGCTTGATGGCTGATAGACAGCATATCCAATTTGATCGTATTTCAATTGAGCTGGACTAAAGCTTTGATGTACTTTTGGCTTCTTGACTTCTTCTTCCTCACTCGACTCAGATTCTGATGATACAACATGTTGTCGTTGGAACTTGTTTGACTTAATCTCTAAAATTTCACCTCGAGTGTCAAAAATTGATTCTTCCTTAATACTTTTAAAGACTTTTTGTTCTTCTCTTTCTGGAATTGTTGGTTCCTTTAATGATCCATATTGGAGTTGCTTTTCTGATACGCTGTTTTTAGCTTTGTTTGCCAACTGTCTAGCGATTGCAACACTTACAACATCAGCTTGTCCATAGCTTGGCCTAACATGTTGACTAGATTTGAAGCTTTATTAGAATTCAATTGGATTAACTCATATTTAATGTCTACTTACACGGACTTTGATTTTGGCTTCTCGAGATAAATTGTAGCTCCTTTATTGCTGTTATGAATTTGATATTCTTCTGGAGCACGAACAGGATGGCCACAACCTGAAGATGGGGCTGATGGTGAACTGCTTTGAGCATTACATGCTGCACAGTTGCATGACTGACGACCAAAGTTCAAACCAGGCAAACTGGGAAGGCACTGTAATTAAAATAATTTGTAATTAATGTAAGGACACAAAGAAGAACAAGAAGAATCTTACAGATGGTCTTGGGATATTTGGTAATGGAGCAGGTTTGATAATTTGCTTTCCACAGTTGCAAATGTCACCGATTGGATCAAATGGTTTAGGTCCTTGAACAGTTTCCGTCCTGCAAACAGTTCTAACAAGCGGTTGTGATAATGAGCTAGGTCTTTGGAGTGGATGTGGTTTTGGTGCTGTCACTTTTCTTGGTCTATTGCATGTCGTACAGACATCAACTTCTTGATTGTTTCCACATAAATTGAATGTGGCTGATACCTGATGCAATAAAATAAATTATTAAGGATCAAGCTTTTATACCAAAAATATCCTGACTTACCTCATTAACAATGCAAATGGCAACGAGTGCTAAAGCTAAAGACTTGAATTTCATTATTCTAGAATGAAGATTTGACTTGTACTGACTGAATACAGAGAATGATAAGTAATTGACCATAACTGCATTAATTTATACTCAAATATGTAGATTATTGCAATAATTCTAAACATGCTCGTACTCAAGACCTTCAGAATTTTTTTCGGAAAAATCACGACTGGAATGGCACATTAAAAGATTGACGTGATTTTTTGACAATTTTTTATTAACAAAAAAATAATGAATTTTATTATGACTAATTCAGCATATATGTACACGATAAATAATATAAACTTAAAAGAAGTCAGAAGCTCGTAAGCGTTTTGAGGCGCTTGAGGGGATATCGAGTAAATTATCAGTCAAATTAGTTTCTGGTATGTCAGTAGGCAAAAATTGAGGCTCTGGAGCAGCTTTACTTGTGGTTGGTAAGCTCGGTGTGTTAATTCTGACTAAAGGCGTTGGTTTATTTGATCTTTTTGGCGATGGTGTTGCCCAACTGTCTTTAATTCTTGTAGCACTTGTGAGTCTTCTAGCTGCTGGTGACATACTTGCAAGACGATCCAGAGAATTTCTAACTTGAGGTGATGCACACATATTTCTTTTTGCAGCTTCCATGGCTTTTGTCTTCATAGCTCGATGCTTCTCGCCAACACTTTCAGCTAATTGATGTGCCAAAGCTTCTCGTTTACTCGTCTCAGCAATTCTAAATGATGGGCCGCTTATTGTACTATTATAGCAACTATCACCTGCATCTAAACGAAATGGAGTGCCTTCAATCTCACCCCAAGTCATTAATGGACTACTATCGACAATTGATGGACATGGCGATGGACTTTTGACAAAACTAAATCCACGAATTTGTGGTGTTGTATGATCCAGTGACCTTCCATCTAAACCAACTTTCTCTGGATTTCCTCTAATATTGTTCTTTGAAGCTTCTGTAATTGCTTCTTTATTTTTTGTCTCGTCGAATGGATTAACTATTAATCTTGTATTACTGTGGTCTATTTCCTGCCTTCTTTTTGCCATTTCAACCTTTTCATCTTGTGTAAAATCAACGCCTTCGGGCGTATACATTAAATAGTTCTTATTTTTGTATGTCCACATGTCTAATTTATTCGGTCTCTCAACAGCTGTAAATTGTCTTTCAAATCCTGGAAGTTCCAGAGCATTTTGCAGTATACTTGATGACGAATTCTCAGCTTCATAAAGGATTGCAAATTTTTGTTTCAATTTCTCCTCAGCAGCCTCAATTATTTCCTCAAAGCTCTGATTATCCTCACTTGTGTACTTCCCGAAAAAACTATCTAAACTGTGATTATCACCAATTGATCTTTTCGATGATGTTGTTTTTGAGCTGTCATTACTTCTGACACTTGGAGGAAGTGGAGTAGAATCTGGTATTGATGATGCTGGAGTGTCAAATGTTAATGGTGTCTCATTAAATGCTGGTCTTCTTTTTGAGCTGTATTTGCTGTATATTTCACGAAGTTTTGAAATATTATTTGATGCTATTGCGTCGAGATATTCATTCTGTGCCTTTAATTTTTCCAAATCTGGAAAGAAGTCACGCTGGATAATTTTACCAAGTTCCTATAAAGATTCATGGAATCATTAGTAATAGATTGAGCGTTTAAAGACATTTATTACACCTCAATCTAGAAATCCCTAAAATGCAGCTACCCTAATATGCAGATAGTACTGCCAAGATGCAGATGGTACTGCTAAAGTGCAGATGAAATTTATTTTTCCTAAAATGCAGATGAAATGCTGTTGCTTTAAAAAAGGTATAATGCAGATGATTTTTATTGTATAAAGTGCAGATAAGATGCTGCCCAAATGTAGATCGTATAATTTTATTAAAATACATCATATTCGATGACTTTTTTTTCTTGATACGTGTTAATAAAAAAAAAAATTCCATACAAATTTTCACCTTAAAGTGATTTAAAATCCCAAAATAATCCCCATACAAAATGATTTAAATCATAAATCAAAAATAAATCACTTGGGAAAGATGATTTAAATCCCCTCCATGCTAATTACATCAAAATTTCGTGTAGCAAAGTAATTTAAAGTCATAAAGTATGCAATGTATTCAAATATGCATTTTTGTTTTTCTGAACTTTTTTTTAATAACATCAACTAGTGTATCGGGTAGAAACCCAATGCGGATATATTCGCACCGTACCATCAAAAGTCTTGTGGAAAGACTAAACTTGGCTCAGTATTAATTTGAAAGTATAAATCTTTACGAACCAGCTGAGCTGTGCTCAGTAGATGTTTGGAGGTTTAAAGCTAAACGAGCATTCTTTAAAGTTTTTTAAGAACATTTTTCATCCAAAGTTTAATTTTATAAAAATCACAGTAAACTTTTGTTTTAAAAAATTCGTGAGAAAGGAAAGTTTTTTGCTTTTTCTGAAGCAACGACTGTTCCTACCTTGCCCAAAAACTATACAGCTATTCTATAGAGCAGCACGGTTCAAATGTAAAAAACTAGAAGTCTCTACGATGTCTCGTTATTGAGATTTCTTGCTGATTAACTTGCTTGCTTGTTTGCTTACAGAAAGCGTATTTTTCGATTTTCTCAGCAATGCCACAACCAATTTGAAATCTGTTTTTCGAAAATGATGTAAAATTTCAGGCACAAACTTTACTTCTGAGACTTTTTATAACCAATTTTGCTTCGTTTTCTCACAAAATGCGAAAAACTGATGTTTCCATCTGAACAAAACCAAAAGATTCACACGTGAAAACGGTGTGAATTTAAAAAATACATTTGTAGATATATCAATAAAAGCTGACAAAGTTTTAACAAAATTCACAAAAAATATTCGTGAGTAACGCTTAATTAAATTGATTTTCTGACATAACGCCTTAACTTTAGGAAATAAGTTTTATGTCAAAAAAAAGCAATTTTTATTTTTTACAAGATATAATAACTTTGAAATTTGTCACTATTGTGGTTTCGGAGATATTTAAGAAACCAAAGCGTCACTCACGAATAATTTTTTTGTTCGTCGGGGCCCAAAAAATTAATATCCAATGTTAAATTGTCTACATTATAACAGCATTTCATCTTTATTTTAATAAAATTATACGATCTACATTTGGGCAGCATCTTATCTGCACTTTATACGATAAAAATCATCTGCATTATACCTTTTTTTAAAGCAACAGCATTTCATCTGCATTTTAGGGAAAATAAATTTCATCTGCATCTTGGCAGTACTATTTGCATATTAGGGTAGCTGCATTTTAGGGATTTATAGATTGAGGTATTTATTACTTACAGATAAATATTTTTCTTCTGACAATATAACTTTCTTTGATTTCTTCTTTTGTAAAGGAACAACCGGTCTTTTAAATACTTGCATGGCTTGATTCTGATTCTTTAAATTAGCAAGGACTAATTGAGTTGATTTCTTTTGCTGATCTTGTGCCATAATTAATGATTTTAATGAATTTAATAAATAAACACTTTAAATCGTCGATTTGTTTACTTTCTTTACACACACATACATTCAAACAAATATCAGAAACTTTATTCAAATTTTAAAAAGACGTTAAAGAAGTAGCGAAAAGCTTTTTATGGAATTTAAATTTCAATCAAAATAATAATTAAAATAAAAGTCTTAAAAGTCTATTTATCAACTTTCCATGCCTTTTCAAGCTGAGGAGAAAATGTTTGCAGTTTTTTTTTGCTGATTAGAAGTAATTTGATTTGACAAACCTTCTCAATGAAATTCAATTCGTTTCTTTACTGAAAATTAATGCATAAAAAGTGCAATTAAAGAAATTCTGTAGACACAGTTCTGTAAATAATGAAATTTTCAGTAATTTAAGACATTTTAATTTTTAAAACTTGCATGAAAATATGTTGAACATTTTATTAATTAATTGGTTTTAAGTAAATGACAAAACATTATTAGGTTCTTTGATGTTCCTTATCCCTCTGAAATGATGCGCTATAGATTCAAAGAAATTACTTGAAATATATTGAATAAGTTTTACAGATTTTTAAGGATTATCAATCATCGATCGCAGAACCGTTCTGCCTCATTTTAGACAACCTTGATTAATATGCTTTTAACTTGATAATTAGCGAAAACATAACTAGTTGAGGCAAAGTTGTCATGTTTCCTAGATTCTAAGTATACAGCCATCAGTTTGATGTCGCAGACATATTCCTTTTCTGTATTGTATCCCGAATGATTTTGAGCAATCTTATAGATCTTAAGTTTGTCTTAAACTGCAAATTCCATTCTACTTCAGCACTTTATATTCCAAAACATGCTCTGTAAAGTTTAAAGTTTTCCTAAAAATATCACAGTAAATACACAAAATTTTATAATTAATTAATCCACAATCAATTTCCACAATATCCTTTAATAATCATTTAAAAGCTATGATTCGATTTTTTCTGTCTGTTGCCAATTTCAAATTGAAACTTTATTAAAATTTTGAAACTTTCCACTTCATTTTATACTTTTGTAGATGTCCGATCCTTAAAAATCTTAAATCTTAAAATCACAAAATCAGAAGTTAATCCAAAATCCAACTCCAGTCTGATGAATTGAGAATTTTTTCACCATCATTTAATCACATCACACGATATAAAGTAAAATTGACATGTGATATGAACTCAAATGATGCCACATAAATTCCTTAATTAAATCCTAATTATGCAGTTAATCCAACAAGATCACAAAACTGAATGAATATAATTGTATTCTTAGTGCTCATTAATACTTTATTTTTAAGTGACGCCCAATTCAATCCAATTTACAAATGTAGTAGTTCAGCTGTAATTAGAATCCATTGCTGTAAAGGATAGATACTGTTGACGATCACAGATTTATTTTTTTTTTCAATTAATACAACCACAATTGTCATTGAAAGAAAGGCCTTAGTTGCGTGTATATAATGGCATTTGGTAAGACAGGGAAAGCTGTATGTTGTGCTTGATAAAATAATTCTGGAAAAATGAAAACAATTTGAATTATTGACAATATTTCATGCGCGGCTTGTGTATGTGGGACAGGCTTTATAGCATATGGAATCGGATATTGTTTGTACTGAGCTGTTACTGATTATTTTTAAAATAAGACTGATTTTTGTGATAAATAAGGCACAGATCTGATGTTTATGTTATGAATAAGAAGGTTGAAGACTGGATTTTTGTTGCCGTTTACTGTTTTCGTGGTGGGTCTTTATGTAATAGCTTAAAAATAATATGATTTTAATGTTTATGGAGAATTGGAGAACTTTGTTCGAGTTTTTCAAACGGAAAGCTACTCAAGAATTTCTTTGTATCTTTGTATTTATATTTAAGATTTGCAAGAATTGAAAATTTTATTATTTTTAAAAACTAAGCTTAAAAACATTTTCAATTTAAATCTTTTTCTCCCTTTAGATGTAGTCTAAAGCTGGATCTAACTCTGAAAATTGTTTATTCTTCACTAATTCCAAAAATTTAAATTCAACACAATGAAATTAAAGTCTTGACCTAGATTTTACTGCTAAAAAGCATTTATTACAAATTAAGGATCCATTATAGTTCATGATTCCCACAAGCTGTCTAGACAATTTCAAATCCAAAACAAAAACTCTTTCAAATTTCTCAATAATTCATTCGTAAACTTGAAAAGGGTCACAAGAACGACTCGCGACTGCATTTTCAATTCCGCACATTTAAAGAAAGTGTTGAGGCATCAAAACTTTTCTCCAGAACTGCCAAAATATTTACCTTTCTTCATGGCAATTAAAAATGGCATAAAAGTAAATGGAAAGCACGAATAAGTAGTCAGTAAATATTGTGGCTAATAGACATCACGTACAGTTCTCTGCCACATTAAAAATTCTAATTTTTATCAATGAAAGTTTTTGTTCTATTTTTTGTACTTCTCTCCATCTGTTGTGGATTGAATGCACGTTGTGTGAGCAGACATGCGTCAAGTGATGATGTAAGGCATTTTTTTGGATTATTTAACTGTCGGAATTGAGTTCAAATTATTGAAGAACTGCCCTAATACTTTATAATTTTAAATTAATTATTTCCTTTACTTCCAGTGTCCTTTAAGAATCTTTACTCAACCAGAACCAAAGCCAGTTCGCTATATCTACAGTCCATCACCATCTTGTCAACATGAGGAACCATGTGACTGTCCAAAATATCACGATTTGGTCGTTCAAAAGCCGCAACCTGACGAACAACCAGTCATGACTGCTGTAAGCTATGAATATAAAATCAACAAGCCAGAATTCAAAGCTGAAGCTGAAAAGGACGTTAATAGATATTTGTTTGATGTTCGAGTAGAAAAACCAGTTCAGCCAGAACAAGAAGCACCGTAAGAATACATCTAACCTTAAAATCCATTGAACTGTAACTCAGTGCTCTTATTTCAGATCTGAAACCTACGATTATAAACTCCAACATGTTCAACAAGCTCCAAATCAACAAGCCAACTCCATCCGTTACCTTTTCGACACTCGTGTTGAGCAACCAGTCAAGCCTTGCGACGAGAAGCCATGGCAAGGATTAGTCACACATATTGATGCAGTCATGATGCCAAAGCCATGCAGCAATCCAAGTCATCGACCAGGAAACTGCAATTGTGGATGTCGCAATCCAAGTCACACCCCAAACACATGTGACTGCATGAGAAATTTGTTTGAACTTCCAATGTCTTTAAGGTAAATTTTGAAATAATTGTCATGTCCACTTTTTTGTGTTGCAATGTTCTGAAATTTTCTCGATTCAAGTCCTGTCCAAACAAGTCACAAACGAATAAAACGTGATACAAAAAATAAAAATAAAAAGTTATCATTCAAGTCTGGTATCAAGTTACCAAAATTAAAGCCGTTAAGATTTGATTCCAAGTCATTAAAGAAAATTGACCCAAAAGAATTGGCTTTGGTTTTCAGAGCTGACAAAATTAGACCAACAAAACAGTCAGTAAAGTTGAGTAAGCAATCAGCAAAAGAGCAATTCCTTAGATTAAAGAGAAAAGAAAAGTCTCCATGTGGCTATGAATTTGAGTCATGTGATTTAAAGAGAAGAACTCCAGCTGGATGTCCATTGTGCTATAAATGTCATTGTGAGCCTGCTGATGGTTCAGAAAATCAAAGGTTCTCGCCAAAAGACATAAGAATTCCTTATCAAATGGCATCACATGATCAAATATTTAGTCCGGCGACGCAACAGGAATTTGATGAAGAACCTCCGTCTTATACTGGACTCAAGAAACCTGATATGTATAAACAGTACATTGAGCAAGTCATCTCAAAATATCCAGAGCACATGTCAAGAAAAATGCCTGATTTGATGAACCAACAGCGTGACTTGATGGATTTTATTAATGATCTTGCCAAAAATGATAAGTCACCACAGCCTGGAAAGAATGATGATATTAGGTATCAAGTTATTGATGATGCATTGGAACTGTATAAATTGTATCAAAATGCTATTGGAACGAATCCAATGCGATTTGGAAATGGACGATTATTTAACAAAAGAGGAACAGTTTTGGAAGTCATTGAAGTTGATCCGGATGATTTGAAAACTGGAAAGATTAAGCTTCCTGAAAATATTGATAGCTATTAAGTTCCAGTAGCTATAACTTCCTAATTTTTTTACTAGCCAAATTTATTAAGTGTTAAGCAACGATAAAATATTATTTTTATGAATAGCTGATAAGTAGGAATGTGAATAGATTCAAAAGTCATAAAAATGAAATAACAAGCAGTAAGCTTACGGCTTATTAGTAGTTAAATCAGATTTTATGACGAAATTTATTCAATTCTTTTAAACCAATCATCAAAAGCATCACAAAAATATGATATAGAGTCACATTAAGTGTGATCACATGTCATATGTCCACAAATGTGTATTTTGTACATGGACTGACTTTCATTGTAAATAAAATTTATGATTAAAAATTAATAACTTTCTTTTGTTCTTTTTTGTTGCAGATTCTAATGGATGTGTCATGTTTGATGCTTCTTTGGACTCACTTTGTTGAATTTGATTTGTTAAATTATTGAAAATGTTGAAAAACTCAGAAAAATTGAAACAATAAAATCTAAAATATTAAATCAAATTATTGCTGTTTATTATTTAAATTTCCTATATATTCATTTAATGCTTAATGCTATTTCAGAAAATTTAATTCTTATTGAACAACGAAAAGTTCAAAACCTAGCCAAATGAAACGTTAACAAAAACAATTCTTGAAAAAATGTCAAGCAAATGGAAACTTAATTCAAAGAAATTTCACACAACAGTTGACTAATCTCCCACTTTTCTTTAGGACTAGTATGATATCCCGTAATAAATTATGGTCAGTTTTTAATATCCCTCGTGAAGCATAGGGCATATTTTGGGTTTATATGTGGGTTGAAAAATTTAGATTTAGATCAAATCTTATTTCTGAACTTTGATATTTGAGAATCAAAACAGAGATTCTCTATTTGCAAAAAGAGGGATTTTTGGGGCTTAGAGTGAAATGACAGAAAGAAAGAAAGACAAATGAAGGCTTTTAAATTGATAATTTTTTTTTTCATTAAAAAGCGTACATACGCATTTTATTGGATTGTAATTAATTATAAAATAATACAAAAATCAAAAATCAAAAATTCATAAGATATTCAAAGAATATAATTCAATAAAATGGGACTTTTGAGAGATTATGGAGATTATTACAAAATTTCATTTGAAATTAAAGCATTCCTAATGTTTTTAATATCTCTGCCATTCGAAATGATATTATTTCGGTAAAAATTACGACTGATTACGTTTAGATATCTTTCATCTACCTGTGCTGTTGTTGACTGCCTACACCAGATTGATTTGTCAAATAGAAACAATCCACCATCCTTCAATCTTACGTTCCTATTGCCTGTGCTTTCAAGCATCGATTGTAAGTTACTTATCCCATTTTGGTTGTATGTGGATATATAAGTTTCGTCATCCAACATTTTCGTTGCTAACTTGTAATTAGGTAAAATCCCATCAACCAAGTCCAATACACCATTTGTGTCACATTCAACTAGGATCTCCATAATTCGCTCTGACGGGAAGAACTTATTATATTGTAACGATGTTGACAGTTATTGTTGATTTGTTCCAACAAGGAGATCTTTTTCCACAAAAATCCTCAATGTTTTACTGCTGATTCAACCTAATTATTGATCAGAAATTCAAACTTAATTACAAACATTCAATTACGCAAATAACTGTGCGTTCCTTGATGAACAATCAGATCTTATCTTTTCACTATTTATGTCTACCGCACATAATTGACATAATCTAATAACATTCGTCGACGTAGTAAAAATATTTAAAGAATTTACATGAATTATTCGCAGTTACTCAAAATATTTTCACTTCCATAACTTCAAATCATATTTCCACAAAAAAGTATTTTCACTATATCTCACGTCCGATAGAAACTCAAGGAAAATCAATTTTATATTTAAGCTACTGAAATTGAGTGAAATGATATCAGTTTCCAATCTGGTGTCTCATTCGAATAATGAAGACTATTACAGCATTTTTACTACTTTTAGCCTTTACTGTTATGGTAAATTTATTTTTTAAGGATTGCAACTTTTGCTTAAGTTAGAGTTTTGTGTCTAAATAGTCTCAAATTTCAAAAAAAATTCATTGGATATACTTTAGACATGAATATTCAATGCCTTTACTTCTTAGTTTTCTAACAATTAATTTCTTATTCCAGCACATTGATGCATACAGTGGAAGACCATTTGTCGTCCAATTCCAAGATCAAGGAGATGAAAACCATCATTTGGAAGAACCAAGATTCCACACTCTCTACGAAAATCAACATTCAAATGATGAAAGTTTAGAATCAAAGGAAAATTCCCATGGTAATGCTTACTTACATGAATACTCACGACGCTCTGGTCCACATCAAAGTTCGGAATCAGTACAAGACATGTACAACATCTCAGAAGAATACGAGAAAGACAGCGATGATCAACACCAAGAAGAAAACTACCATCATCAATCATCTGAGGAACAACAAAACTCAAAAGTCTATACGAAGCATATTTATGCTCATGACTACTCGGAATCAGCATCACACTCATCTGAATCCAAGTCAGAATCTAAGAAACACAATGTTGTAGCCAAAAAATCAAAAGACTGTTCATCATCTGAAGAAAAATCAGAAGAACATGAACCAGAACATGAGCCTGAATGTGACAAGCCAAAATGTGAAAAATGCAAGAATAAGAAAATGGTTTATGTCTATAAACAGCCACCAATTGTTGTTCGTCCAAAACCCACAAATGTCTACATCAAATCAAAGCCAATTTACGTCCAACCTCCACCACTAGTTGTTCATCAACCAGCTCAAAAACCATGTAATCCAACTATTCAATATAAGCCACCAAACATCCGTGTCCAGCCAGTCATTGTCAAAATTAAAAAGCCGAAAACTACAACCACCACAACAACAACAACTCATAAACCAACAACAACTTGTAAACCAAAGCATACAACCAGAAAGTCATGCAGAAAATGTAGAAGGAAGCCAACCCGTAAGTGCAATCGATGCCAAAAGAAGAAGTCAAGGGACTATAAAGTCTACTATAACGGCGAGAGTATCATGACATAAATTTGATGCACCTTCATTGTTGGGTGATTATGGATGAAATCTAGGAAGAACAAGCCAGCATGAAATTATCCATAACACATTTTGTTACTGCCATTTTTTTGTACTTTTTTGTTGAATAAAATTTTTTTTTCTATGCATTAAAAAATTCATGGTCAATTCATTATTATAATCAACTTTAGATTCAAAACTGCTGACATACTTGAGAATAAATAAACACATCCAAAAATGCGCTGATGTGAAAATAAACAAACGACCGACATTGCAGCTAGTAATATAAGACCTTAAAAATCAGTGAGAATCAAAATTTTTTGAGCAGTTAGAATCAGAAGAACAGAATGCGACACATTGTAGCTTTAATTTTATTACTTTTTGTGACATTTGTGAGTTTTTGTGCCCTACAAAGTATACAATCATAAATTCTAATAAAGAATCTCTTATATCCAACAGATTTCATCAACACCAATACGAGATCCACCAAGCTATGAATATTCAGATGAATTGTCACTTGACACTATCAAAATTCCACAGAAATCAACAATGAAACGTGATGTGCCTGAAGTAAATAATTATCAAGCTAGGCCACGACGAGAATATGTCTCGACTCGAACTCATTTTTATAATTTACTTATGGATATTATATCAGTTGTGCAAGCGTCAACGAAAAATGAGATGCGAAGTGCCAAAGAACGTGAACTACAAAGACGTTCGATTCAAGTTATTGAAAATTAATGGAAGTTGAAGGAAATTAGAATAATTTAGATGGAATTGGCAACGCGTGTGGTGCTACTTATGTGAATTTTTATATTTTTTGTATGACTTTTTTATGTGATTTTTAAGACTAGTAAAGATAAATTTTTGAATAAAATTATGGATGGAGTAGGTTGCTTTGAGTAGCCTAAAACCAGCCCTTTAGCCTCTTTACCCAAAAAGGGCTCGAAAATAATCGAAATGGTCAACTCATGAACTGATCAATTTAAGTTTTTAAATGAAATAAATTCAAATTCAAATTCGAATTCAATAAATTGACATTTTGCTAAGATTCAAAGGAGTTCTTGATAGCTTAGTGATAAGAACATGCTAGTGAAGAAAGTCGTAAGAGCATGAGTTCGATTCTTATTATTGACAAGTTGACTTATTTCTGCTATATATTAAAATTAAGACTCTAAATTATCAATTATGGTGTTCTGATATCTCAAACTTGACTTTAGAGGTGCTTCCTCATTCTTTGGTAAATTGACTAAAATAAGATCCATTATCTCAGATTCTAGTTGACTAAGACAATACAAGGAGATCATCCTAAAGCCCCAAGAACATGCAAGTCTCTAAAATCTTCGTGAATCTCCATCATTGCTATATTAAAGATACAAGAGCCGACGGAAGATCATCGAAATAGTAACTGAGCATAAATCCACAATATCACCCGATCTATGTTCTATTCATATTATTAGTCATATCTCTCACAACAATTTAAGCATATTGTGAAATTCCTCAGCATTATAATGTGATAAATTATGCCTTATTTATAGATTACTGTCTACTTCGTCCAATTTAGATAATTCAGCCATTCCAATTGTAATGATTGAACTTAGTAAGTAGTCAGGCATTTTTTTGCGTCATAAATTTTTTATGTGCATTGTCATCATCCGTAAACATCCCCTGTAATTCTAAAACGCACTAGTGCCTTGATGTACATTTATTCAATTAAAAGAATCTCGTCCAAAGGCCATAAAATTTGCTGAGTCGCATCTTATCAGACGGTACCAATTTAAACAGAGAAGCTGCTCAATTTAAGGTCATAATAATGCTCGATCGAATATCCAAAAGCTTCCGCAAATGACAAAAATAAAGAAAAGTGAGATTCTTTTTTACATTGATGCTAATTGAATGTCACCAGCGGAGGCGTCTAGTAAGTGATGAAGTGTGAATCATGTGCCGACTCTGATTTTCAGGCATTCTTTCTTACTTTTTTTTGAATATACAAATAATTTAATTTAAGACTAATTTAAAAGAATCACATACGTTTGTCATGTACACATGTTGACATTTTTTAGTAAGTGTATAACGTCCAACACGATAGGTTGAGAACTTAATCGAGTTGCATAAAAAAAAAATCAGTAAACATGAATATGAAAATTTTGTTCCTCTTTGTTGCATTATTGTGCATTATTCAGGTAAAGTAGTGTTTCTGTGAATTAAAAGTTTTGTGCTGTAAAGTGGAATATAAATAGTAAAATTGGGGATTGTTCATAAATGATGTCTTAAATTCAGAGAAGAAAAAAGATCTAAGGCTGCATTATTTTTGTTTCGTGTCCAAGAGTTCTATTTTTTTTTTAAAAAAATAGACATCATTTATGAACGACCCCAAACCCACAAAATCAAGTTTTTACAAAAAGTGTAGAGTTCAAGACAATAATTCAGAAACCCAGAGAACAATTAACAAAATTTGACTTTCCCTTCAATCCCTTCACAGTTCACACAAGCTGACTTTATGGATGACGTGAAAGATGTTTGGAAAAGCTCAGTGAAAGGAGTCAAAAACACATTCTCAGTAATTTAGCAATCTTCTTTTAAACCCTATCAAATCCTTAATAAAAGCCTTCTTATCTTTACAGTCTGTTGGAGATTGGTTCTCTGACAAATCCGATGACACAAAGGACGCTGCTTCTGACTTGTACGACGACGCAAAGTCAACTATAAAGGATATTTCAAAGAAGATCAGTTAAGCATACCAAAAAACGTTTTTTATTTTGTGTACCTTTAAATTTGTTTAAATTAATAATAAAGAGTAAATGATATTTTTAAGTGAACAAAGAAGCTTTTAGTCATATATATGCATATAGGCAACCAGGAACTCATTGAGTATATTTCAATTTACAGAAATTCATATCGACAAATAAAGGGAACATAATAAACTTAATTGAATTAAGTGATGGAGTAATAAGTAGTTTATTTACATTCTAGATAATTTTGACTCTGTAGATTGACTATTTCTATTCTGGGTTTGTAGTCATGGAATTTTGACAGCAAAGTACTTTGAACTCGATTGAAATTAGAGACTTTGTCTACAAACAGACTACGAGATTTAATCTGCTTGAAACAAATTTTTGTCCATTAGTATGCTGAATAATGTTTTCAGGATGAACGAACTTTGTCATCTTATCATTAGCTTCAGCCTTCAGAATCATTAGATGTTGCTGGATTTATTTTTTGCTAAATCACTATTTAGCTAGATTCAATTTTTAATTGCATATAAAGTTCGATTGTAAATAATAACAATAAATGCATTGTTATTAAATCACTAGAAATAAATAATTGATAAGAAGGAGTGGAAATATAAGATGTACAGTATGAAAATTAAATTTTCAGTTCACTTTCAGTCGTGTTGCTGTTTAAAAGTATAAAGCAAATAATTCAAAGGAATACAATTAAATTAACTGTTTAAGATGGCAAAATTGGCTGTAATCTTCCTTGTGATTTTTGTTATTGTTCAGGTAAATTATGGATAGACTGATTCTGGTTTAAAGTTAAGATCTTCGTTATGATTCGGTTTTAAACTTTATTAAGTTCAGTTCGACCTTTAAAAAGTTCGACTAAACAAATATAAGTCATAAGATGCAAAGTTGCCTAAATTTGATGCTAATCCTTAATATTAAATATTCTATAGCTGACATTGTGCGATGAAATAGCTGATACTGAAACTGATGCTGAAACAACAACTGGCGTTAGTTTACTCGACACCATCAAGAAAGGAATCGAAAATGGATTGAGTCCTGAAAATATCGACAAATTGAAGACTGATTTTGGATCTTTCACCAATTCTGTTACGGTAAGATAAGTCAAAGAGTTTGATGGGACTATTATCTTAAGATCTTATAAGAATCGAATTTTGATGTTTCACTTACTTTAAAGTTTGAATCAAACCTTATTGAATAATTATTTTGAAGGGTGTGGAACTGATTTATTGAATTTTTTGATTATTTTAACCAGTTCCAAACCTTTATTTAATCTTGAACTAGTGTTGCATTCTGGCCTTTTGTCTGGATCAGATAAATTCTGAGACAGAAATTTCTTCATAAAGATCGATTATACATGAAGATAGAAAATCTAATCTACACAAAGATTATTTCTACATAAAGATTCTGTCTACATAAAGATTCGATGTAGATGTCTACAATTCTACATTCTTCTCTGATATAGACCTGGAAAAAATGTAGAATTGTAGACATCTACATCAAATCTTTATGTAGACAGAATCTTTATGTAGAAATAATCTTTGTGTAGATTAGATTTTCTATCTTCATGTAGAATCGATCTTTATGAAGAAAGTTTCTTAGCTAGACAAAAACTATTGAAGAATCTACATTCTTCATCTAGTGTAGACATCTATATTTGCAACACTGTCTTGAACTTAACCTTAAAAATCAATTACAGGATCTTGGAAACAAATTCGGTGAGAATGTGAAGAAGTTCTTCGACAAGGTATCCACCACAGAGGCACCAGCTGATGCATAATTTATTCTTTTGTAAAGATTCTTTATTGTGTTCCAAAATATTCAATAAAAGAGTTAAATAATAAAAAATGGTAAAACTGATTCTGTTATCCAAATCTATCCTTTCTAGGCGTGCATCATAATAGAAACCATAAAAATATTTTAAACATCCATGCATAATAAAAAGTCAGGTACTCATCTCCAAAAAAAAAAACTGAGAAAATCCAAGAGAAAGAGAACTAAGAATAATCACTACCAAATCACGTCCATAATTGTCAAAAAAGAAGTTCTTTTCATTATTAAACAGAATTTTGAACTGTTAAGATCGCTGAAGATTTTCTCGTCCACATTTTTAAGGCACTCACAAATTAATTCAACATGGCTAAATTGACATTGATCCTCATTGCAGTATTCTTGTTCGTCCAAGTAAGTTAAAGGCTTTAAAATCCTTTAAAGATTGAAAATAAAATTAAAAATTCACTTCCATACAGTTGGCAATGTGTGCTACCCGTGAAAAGAGAGAGACCGAAGCTACCACAGCAAATATCCTTGACTCAATCAAGACCGGAATTGAATCGACATTTAGTGAACAAAACATCAAGAAGGCTGTTGATAATTTGAGTGACTTTGGTGACAAGCTTAAGGTAGGTTTACAAAAATTCTAAAAAGACCGTTTTTGATGATTTTTATTCCTTTACAGGATCTCGGATCAAAAGTCGTGACAAACTTCCAGAATGCAATGAAAAAGGATGACACAACTGCCTAATTCCATTTGTATTTCTTTCAATAAAGAACTGACTTAATTTTTACTTGAATATTTCATTTGCTGACCTTTTTTATAGTAGCTTTGTCAAGTTCAATCTTTCAGTAATCTTAGAGATAATTAAGCAAGTCGAAATTTGAAAATTGATAAGAGTTTACTCGTGTATGTCTGAAGATATTCTCTAGTTCCCATTGAGTGAGTTATTTTCTCCTTATCATCTGTTAAAATGTACAGTCACGCTAATGCTGTTTGAGTCTTATGTTCGTTGACGTCAAAAAATAAGAAATTGAGTTTAATGAGATTCGTCATTCGATTTTAGGGTATATTGGAAGTATGACTGTTCATACGTTATGATTTAACTTTGTGATCTTTTGTACTTGAATTTTAAGTTCGCTCTCATTTTGTTCCTGTTGAAACATCTAGAAGAAAGAAGCAAACTTCACAATGACAAAACCACAGAAAAAGTATAACTCCGACCGGACTCGAACCCACGTCCTACGATTTCCAGTTGCATGCTCCTACCACTGAGCTATCGGGGGTTAGACGACTATAAGGCTAAATCCCATATTTAAGTTACACTCTTTTTACTGTTCCTTTGCACCACATGATTTATCGTTGACAGGCTATTACATGGAATCGCATATTCCAACCGTTTCTCCTGGCTTTATTTTGACGGAAAACACCAGAACCCTGTGATCATTTCACTTCCATCATCAATTCACTCTCATTGCTGACAAATAAAATTAAATTATTGTCACCAAACATTTACTTTCAAATCACTCGACACAATCTCCCTTGACATAATTTAATTTCAAGTCAATTTCAAGGAAGCAAAACAAAAACATGTGAGTGAGATCAATGAACCTATTAGCAAAACACCCAATTGCATTGTCACGTCCGACTTTACAGTAGTATTAGCAGGTATAGCATGCAAAAAGCTATTGTCTTCTTATCTCTTTGTTACACTTAAAGCTGTGAAGTTCAGGCCAAGAAATTTCTTTCAAATTTTAAGCCAGACATAATGAAACGAGAATTATGCAGCAATGAAAAGTGTTTGATAATTGTTTTGTACCCGATCGGTGTGTTCATTCATTTCTTTTGCAAATCCATCGATTGAGACAACATACAAGAAATTTTTTTGTGAATGCTTTAATGCTAAATTTTGTGGTCATTCGAGCGATGGATTTACTGAAAAGTTTTTGATATAAATCGCTATGTTGTGGACAAAATTATTTTAGTATCAATCTTATGTTTCAATTGAACCAATAGAATCAAAAGTTTACAGCACAATAGACGATAAATATTAAAGACTCAATCATGAAGGTAAAATAAATCATTTTGTGGCTATTTTGAGTGATTAATAAGTGATATTTGTGGATTTTTAGATGCAAATAGCTGTTCTGTTTGTCGTGATGAATGTTCTGTTGCTGTCACATTCATTAGCACAAGGTGCAAGTCGTAAGTTATTAGATTCATCAATTACTAGCTACCTAAACGACACACTCAAGCTCAATTCTAATCTCAATCAATATCTTACAGAAGGACGCTACAAAAGAAGCCCTGACAAGTACGACGACCATTATAGCAAGTTCTTAGCCAAGCATTTTTCTGACGTTGGTGCAAAACACATTGATGGCCAGGATGAATACAAAAATGCCTCTAATGACAATGATAGCTATGAAGAAGAAGGAGGCGATGAAGAGGAAGAATCTGACGACCCAAAAAGTGATGCTGAAGATCATGGAAGTTATAGCTACAGCAATAATGAAGACTATCAAAGAATCAAGGCATTGTCGGAAGCTCAAGTAGCCAAACTTGAAGAAAAGCCAGGCAATTGCAAGCATTTTGAGAAAGACGGTATGATCTGCTCGGAATGTAAAGATCCAGAGACTGGAGACACTTCTGAGGTATGTAACTGACAGAATATTAATTTCAAAGATCAAATATAACGAAAATTCTTATTTCCAGTCATGCAACTACGCATCGGAACCAGAAGACAAGAAAATGGCATACACAAGTAAGAAAAGTCACAATTACAAATCACCAGAAGAAGTTGAGGAACCAGCCGATCATGAAGAAGAAAGTGAGGATCAAGAAGAAGCTCCCGTCACTCCATCATCAAAGGTTCCACGTCCTGCAAAGCAATACAAGAGTGAAATGGAAGATGCTGGTGATTATGGAGCATATAAGCTTGCTGGATATAACAGTGATGTTGATGATTATGATGAACATGAAAAATTCGCGCATCTCAAAGTTGAGCCAAAAAATGAAGCTGGCAAGAAGGACTTTGAGATTTTACCAAATTCTCAATTCAAGACCAAAAACTTGAATGAAGCATTAACTGACTTTAACACAAAAGATTGGTCAAAATGCTCGAAAGTTAAGAAAGGTGAGATGACTTGCTATTACTGTAAAGATGCCAAAGGTGCTACACAAGAAGAATGCATGTTCATTTCATCCTCAAATCCAAAGAATCTCAAAGTTGAACGAAAAGAATCAAGTCACTACAACCACAACTCTAGAAAGCCAAACGCAACTCCAGATGCTGTAGAAATCATCAAATCCTTACCACTTAAAGTTGGACCTATTGTTCCTGACAACCGTGAAAGATTCGCACGACTAAGAATGGGACGTCCATTAGTGCCAACAAAAGCTAATCTAGCCAGAGCAGAGCCACTTGTGACACCAAAAATTAACACCAATATCAATCCAGTTGACTACATCCATTTCGATCCAACATTTAAGAAGACAATTAAGCGAAAGGCTTCATACAGACAGAGAAAGAACTTTGATTTCGACTTTCTAGAGCCATCAGAGTCAAGAGCCAGCAAGTTTGAGTCTCATGTCAGACATCAATAAGTTGCTGATTTACTTAAGAATTTTGAAAAAATCCTACAAAGATGCTAGTTCCTATCCTTTAAAAAGTGTCATGTTTATAGTTGTTCATGTGGATTCTATTGATAGAATAGATATGAAGGGCTATAAAGACATGATTAACTTCCTATCCTTAAATTCCTATTCCAAAACATACCTAAGTGTGGTGTTGTAAAGGAGATGCAAACCTAATTATCTTACATTTATGGATGTCGATAGTCCACACTACATCACACCATCCTCTCCACAAAAAAAAATCCAATCTCCCAAAAACTTGTATTAAGCTTTACTTACTAGAAAAATGTTAACTACAATGAAAGAAAAATCACTTCTTTGTATTCAATATCAATATTAAAGACGATCCAATTTTGGATCTAGAAATTTATTCACATAAATTAAGCTGCATTCAGAACATGATTCTTTGTTATTATCGATGCCTTTTAAATTATATAGAAAATCAGGTAGAAAAAAAAAGGGATTAAACGAGTTCTACAAGTCCCTTTAAACAGGTTTACAACAATCATCATCGTCATCCTACTGATCGACATACACCGGAGCAGATGACTGCATATAAAAATTAATTGAGAGAAAGACGAGATCAAAATAGAAGTGAGAATAATTATAAATGATCTCAGCATAATTAAGAATCTTTACAGCGACTATACACTCAAATACTTAAGAATTTATTATTTTTTAAAATATAAAGCGATCATTCGTTGCTGCTTTGAAGCAGTTGGAATTGAGTAAGCAGAAGAATAAGTTGTGGATTAACCGACAGTGACAGAAAAAAATATGAAGTGTTTTATCGTGATTGTGTGCCTTGTTGAGGTGAATATTACAAGACTTTATGCTTATGGAATAGTGAAAGCATTGTCATGCATGAGTGGCATTTCTAGTCTTTCCAAATTTCACAAAAACGTGAAATAATTAAGCAATAAGCATATCAAATTGATAGCAAATTATTTACCTCATTTAAGATTGTATTGGGAGCTCCAGCAGAGCAGAGCATTGCCGAACAGACTCAACAGACGATTGCAAAAATTCAAGAGAATGCACAAGAAGCTGTCAAGAAGATTAATACGCAACTTTTGGAAGTATCTGGTGCATCAAATAATGTTGACTTGCTGAGCAGATTCCAGACTGGTGCTGAGTCATATGCTAAGAATATTAAGGGTAAGTTGTGGATTTGATGAGTTTTAAAGGATGCTGTTCATCCTTAGCTACTTGCATGCTCTGCTTTAACAGCCATTAAGGATTGGCAGCTGTATTAAACTCTCATGATACTACTTTGTTGCTCAGCAGCTGCTTAAAATTTTAAATGACTTTTTTCTTGCAATTTTAATCATATTAAGTCTCATCCAGTAGATATTTCACTCAATTCCGTTCTGAATTCCTCAGATTCTCAAAAACAATAACTAATGACTCAAATGACACTCAATATTATTCTAGAATAATTCCCAAACATCCACTCTCCCTATTTGTTTCAAATAATCCAGTATAATACAAAATATTTACTCAATCACGATAGGAGTTGCTGATCAACTATCAACGCAAGCAACTGAAAATAAACAAGGAGTCGATGCCATCATCAAAAATGTCGCAACTCAGCTCTCAGAATCAGCAGCTAAGCTTTTAGCAAACAATGATCAAACAAAAGTCACTCAACTCAGATCCACCTTCCAGAATGTCATTGATCAAGCTGATAGTCTTAATACTCGTCTTCAGACTGAAGGTTTGTTGCTTTAATTTATTTATTGCTGCAGATTTTTTATATTTCCTGTGTTTTAGGAACAAACATCCAATCGATCTTTGCTGATACACTCTCAAAACTTTATGAGAACACACTCTCAGCTGCAAAGAATGTCGCTCAACAAATTGATGCTGCACAGGCACCAAAAACTACATGAGCAGCTACATATTAGCATTTTATCAAGTTAATTAAGTGTCAATTTCCTACTTTTTTGCCGCCAATTTTTGTCTTTATTCTTGAAATAAATTTAATAATTTTTTTTATGGTAAACTTTTATGGCTTCTTATTCTTCTCGCGATAGAATTAGCACAAATTACGCTTTGTTTTTAAGCATTGTTTACGTCTACGTACCGGCAAAAAAGTATATAATATTCGGGAAGGTCAAATTTCGTTTTATGAGATGATGATTAATAAAAAAAATTACATAATAAAATTCGTTGCTGAGTGTGTCTGTAGCTGATAAAATAAGGCAAGCATTGCAAGTTCGTAAGAAGACGTATTTCAGTGGAGATAGAGTTTAAAGTGTATTTTTTCATCCGTGAAAGTCAATTTGAGATCTTATATTCTTAGGAGATGATTATTCCAAGAAATCAAGACAGGAACACATGAAATTAACGATCTTTATGATGTATTATGCTTGGAAGTTCGTAATAATGATAAGATAAAGCTGTCTTAGTGCGGTATGAGACCTGTATTAGTCACAGAATCTGTTTTTTAATAACATTAAAACCCAATGCTCCAACATTGTAGCCAAAACATTTCTATTATCCATCCAATTCCAATATCCATACTAGAAATATTAAATAACACTTAACTGAAATATCAATGTGACCAAAATCAAATTGAACCCCCATAAATATTTAAACAATGCATATAGGTATTACGCAATAGTTATGAATATTTTAATGTTATTAGTACGAGGAAGTGTGTACAGTAGGTAAATGCAAATTAAGTGACTTCTTGAAAAATATCCGCTAAATCTTCTTTGCGTATAAAAATGAATTCATTTTCAGTTATTGGCAATTCCTCAACTTGATATTTGGCTGCTTCCTCCAACTTCTTCTTAATTATTGAGTTTCTAGCATAATCAACAGGAATCTTCCCAATGTGATTCTTTATCGTCGCTTTAGCTTGATATTCGAGTAGATTTTCAACAATTCCATTATATCCAAATTGGGATCCGTAATGTAACGCAGTCATCCCATCTTTATCTTGTGAATTAACATCAAGTGCTGTATGTGTATGCTCTGCGAAAAATAAAAGTGCTTTGACACACTGCTCGTGTCCATAAATTGATGCCAAAATTAAAGCTGTTTGCTGATCATTCGTACGTAAATTAATTGAATTGTTTTGGTTGTGCAGAAGGAGAAATAAAACTTTTTGATGTCCTTTTTGTGCTGCATAGTGCAAGGCTGTATATCCTCGAGAATCTCTAGCATTAACATCTGCACCTTGATTTGTTAAAATTGTGAGAATTTTCGGTGCATTAAATGCTGATGCTATATGCAGCATAGTCAATTTATCTTGTGATGTCTGATTAATATCTAAAGTTGAGGATTCTACCTTCTTGTCACATCTTTCACACCTACAAAGTGGATGACATGAAGCAGGAATAGAAGGGCATTTTACTGACAATTCATTTTTAAATGCTGAATATGACATGTTAAGTAAATTCATGAATTTTACATCATTATGATCTTTGATGCATGTAAAGATGTGGATCAAATAGTCTTCTTGACTATGAACATCATTAATGTCCTTTGGATTGAGTAAGTTGTCCTTTTCTAAGCAGATATTCTCATTGGTCTGTATAAAGTAAATGATAGCTTCTAATGTCGTTAAAATATACAGCAAAGCACTTCCAGTTGACTGATTTTCAGCACTAAGAACTGAAGATAAATTAAATTCTTGGACAAATGATAATGTGGGAATCCAGTGATAATAATTTCCTTTAATAACTAAGTAGACCATAATAGGTAGGAGGATGTCTGTGGTTACATTCCCGATAATTGAAGAGATTGTGTCGATGACATTTTTAATGCAACTTAGTTTGTCTAGACTCGTCTTACAGTTATCAATTTTAAGCATTTCTAATCTAATAATATTAAAGTTGTCATAGAATTTAGAAGCTACAGATTCAGATATGTTGAGATCCTTAAGTGATATATTTGATAGATTTTTAATAATTTTGTTAAATTTCTCATTTTCCTCCGCATGCTTAATAATTAGGGCATCAAAAATCTTATCATAAATGGAATCAAGTAGCACATATTCGACCGCAAACTTCATATTCATGCACAAGAACTGCTCTTCCTTTATTTTCTTCGTGCACGTTATATTGACACAATATTCGTACAGTAGCTTGATGTTTGCTTGGAGACTGTCGTAATCAGTCGACTTTTGAATCCGTAGATTGAAACTTTTAATCGCATTATCAATTTTACGTTCGACTTGCTTTGAACATAAATTATGGATTAAATCTAGACTTTGATGGACACTTTTGACGACTGTGTCATTGCATGACGGTAGATTATTTGCGAATTTTGTACTGAGTGGCTTGTCTATGCATAATATCTTGTAACGTTGACTATCTTTTGTATAAAAATATTCTTCAAACAGGATATGGACATTAATAGCCGCTGTATCACTTTTAATCTTTACGTCAGTTCCATTAATCAGCACTTCCTCCCCAATTAAGTTACAAAAGTGTGTTTTAGGTAGTTCCTCCGACGGTGCCAGTATGTGTGCCAGCATAAATTCATGATTATTAAGGTACTTACTTGTGTAACTTGATCTTTTTGGAAGTGCTACAATCCAGTTGTTTATTGAGATTTCTTGGAGGAGAGAATACTTGTCAATCAGTCTGATGTAAAGTGGGTTTGTGTGGAGATCCTCTTCGTAAGTTATTGTCTCCATTATTCATCTGGAAGGTACGAAAAATTACAAGTAAGTTCCAAATTTTGATATTTTTTCTCCTGGACCTTTTATTATTCAGTCTAATGAGGTTTAAAGCTTGTGAAAGTATGATTCATTTTTAATTAAGCACCATTCATTCGCGATTACGAGATGAAAAGTTGTGATTTAATGACACTAATTAATTTTTTTGTTTATAACTTCCAATTCTCTTGAATATTCATGAAATATCACAAGATTATTAACTTTGGGACTGCAGATTGCTTAATTGAATGACTAGATATATTTTTCTAACGATCCAGGAGCCTAAATCTCTGTAATTAGGGAAAATTTGACTTACTTTGTTTGTAAACAAACAACTTGGGTGAAATCAGCACCAAATTATAGTCGAGACGTAAAAAATTTAAATTTTTTTTAGACGTTATTTTTTGGATTTTGTCGTTAATTATTTTTTTATTGTTTTTTCGGCTTATAATTACACTTTCTTCTTCGTTTTTAAGCAACATTATTATCATAATATGTTAATTAAAATGGTTCATTCTCGTATGTACATACACATCTAGTAAAATTGAAAATATTCTATCAGAATTTTAAAAATGGATATCTAGTTTCACACCCACTCTTGGGGAGCTTTTCGCTAGGATTTCCTCGATGACAGTAAAGGCATCCTCTCATTATTGACTTGTAATGATGTATCTTGTGGATTTTGTCGTGGTTTTTGCCATAAGAATCTTTGACTCTCTTCTAATCGTGCACCACGACGTTGTTGCTGCTTATGATGTACTTCATGCAAATAAAGAGTACTTAAACACATGTCAGCCGTCGTAAGTTCCGGCGAAAACATTTGAGTTTCATTTTGAGGAATATTACATAAACTGTAAAGAAGACCATGCTTAGACATTTCTATTGGACCTTCCTTCTTTGCTAAACTTCCCCGAATGCTCATATGCAATCCAGTTGCATTTCTATTCGGTGGAACAGGTTGAGAAGCTGCTGCTTCTTGATGCTGATCATCAGAATCTTCATCTTCATTGATATTTGGGAGATACTGACTACGCATTTGCGTCATGGTCGATCCATCCGTTAAATTGTCACGTAACATTCTCTCGAAATCAAATGTTGGTGCCATCGAAGACTGAATTATTGCTGTATTTGGTGGAGTTATTGGTTGATTTGATGGACCTGCTGTATAAGTTGGTTGTTGATACATTGACATGCCTGAGGATTAAGATTTGGATTTGTGAATCAAAGAATTTTAATTTTCAAAAATAACGGATATAAATTTTTTAAAATATAACGGTTATTAAAATTTTGAATTTTTGCATAGTTTTCAAATATATTTTGACAGTTGTTTTTCATAAAATTTAATCGTCATTTACCACAATTCTTACCCATCATATGCTGCGATGTCGACAGATTTTGAATCTGTAAAATTGATTGCACAACAGATGAATATTCTTCACCCAAACTTTCAACAGACATCAAACTTTGTCCCATAGCTGTTGCTCCTAAATTAGTCGGTGCCAAAGGATTTCGTGTCTTATTTAAATCGTGCATTGCATGCTTTCGAACTCCTCGTAAAAATTGTTTGGCTTCTGTTGTCATTTTCCAGTGTGGATTTGTTAATGCAAAGTGGACCAAAGACAATTCAGTCTTGCCATTTTCACCTTGATTGTATTGATTTGTCTCGACTGTTGGACTTAAATCTTCATTGCTGTTAACAATTTGCCAATCTGCATTTCCATGCTTTCTTATTTCCATTTGAGCAAATGAACAGACATCACCGACACCAATAACTGAGACTGTAAAGTTCCTTAAAAAGTCAATAATTTCTGTCGAACGTGGTCTAATGCTAAACATAAGCACGAAAAATGTCAAAAATGGACTAAAAATCTCATTTACAAAATAAAATGCTTTAAGCTGAAAAAAGTCTTCAAATTCTCTAAGAACTTTCGACGTATGTGCAAATCCGCGCCATTCTGGCTTTAAATAGTGAGCATGGCATAAAATGTTCTTCATAAGTTGCTCAGGACACCAAATTAAATTCTCGTCCGGAATTAAGCTATGTGAAACGACTGTAATGCCCATAAAGGCTGTGATGATGAGCAGAACGTGCTCAACTTGTATAACATCTTCGTCGACGATTGCCAAGATGAATAGAAACATTCCTAATCCGCCAAACGTAAAAATACAGAATCTAAAAATGGACATTAAATGATGTAATCAAAAAACTTATATTAATTTAAGGTCACTTACCTAGCTAAGACGGTGAGAATTGGCGATGAAAATGCATTGACATATTTAACAGCTGGTCTGTATGCGCGATTTAATCTCGCATCTAATTCATGATCGAGTTCGTTAAAATGACGCAAATAAAGCTTTCCATATTGAGACCATGTCCTCATTCCTAATATCGTTGGTTCCTTCTTCACAATCTGAAAAGATTCAATTAAATTTTGATAAGAGTTGGAGATTATAGAGGTGTTTTTTGACTGCGACGCAGTTTTGTCTACGATTTATTCAATGAAATAACTTTTTGATTCAATTTCAACTTGAAAAAAAATTGGAAATTTTAACAGTTTTGTAAAATTTGAATTTTAACGGTTTTGTAAAATTTGAATTTTAACAGTTTTGTAAAATTTTAATTTTAACAGTTTTGTAAAATTTTAATTTTAATAGGTTTGTAAAATTTGAATTTTAACGTTTTTGTAAAATTTGAATTTTAACAGTTTTGTAAAATTTGAATTTTGACGGTTTTGTAAAATTTGAATTTTAACGGTTTTGTAAAATTTGAATTTTAACGGTTTTGTAAAATTTGAATTTTAACGTTAACCGTTAAAAAGTTAAAAATTTCCAATTCTGAGCATTACAGCACGAGTCAAGCTATTTAACTGCACTATGCCCTTACAAAATAGAATTCACAACAAACTTGCCTCAAGCAAAAAAACTACGACATCAAAAATCATTATCAATTGAGTTCAAAGCAATAAAAAATAGTTAATAACAAATATACTTACTGGTGCGTAACTGAAGAAGAAGAACAAAACTTGCCACAAAAATATAAGCGGTGCCAGCATTAAGTTTACCAAAGCATACCAAGTAATATGTTTTGAAAGTTTCGAAGCGAGCTCAGCACGTTTTGTAGCTCTCTTAAAATCCTCTTTCAAGTGCCAATTATTCTCGAAGCAAGCAAACGGTCCACGAAAAAGTATCAATTCGATATTGTAGATTAGCAATTTACTTAGCACATTTACTTCGCCAATTATCGGTATATTTAGCTTAGACGGTAGTACATTCTTGTTAATCATTGCTACCATATAGTTTTGAAATCTGTTGAATGTGATGAGTCATTGAGTAACAATAATCAACAAAGAAATTTTGCGAGGACACTCACCTTAAAATTCTATGATAAATATCGAGTTCTGTTAAGTTGTCTTTGTGGACACAAAGTTGAATTTCGGATTGTGCATCACGTATCCTCCTCTGAAAATGCATAATAATGGTTTTAATATGTGTCATAAAAAAGTCCCGAGCGACACAGTGTCAGAGTGATGTCATGTCTCTTGTTGCTTCATTTCTGTCACACAACTGTTGCGCAACAGTCACATATACTTCGTATGACTATGACATTCGATAGAAATGTCACGCAACGGTTGCATGAATGTTATACAACATTTTCGACTGTTGCAAAGCTTTTTTGACCGTCATCGTTAAGAATAATAACCTGACAGTGACTTGACTACCATACAATGCAGCTCAGGATCAATAAACAAACTTCCTACCTGAATTTCATGCCATGTATAGTTCTCCAACTCATAATCCTCAATTTTTAACGCAACCTTCATGAAGCATTGGATGTCGTAGTTGTGTATGATATGAAAGAAGACAGTAATAGCTCGCACAACCCAAAAAATCACAGAAACTCCTATAAGCGCATAAGTCCAAAGAGAGAATCGTGCATGGCACTGCTCGGATGTAAAAATGACATCCTTAATTGTATATTTAACTGGAAATTCCGTCTGATCTGGCGGCTTCTCTTCTCTAAAATAAGGAAGACAATTATTGAAATTAAAGTGCACATGTGTGTGGACTACACTCACTTGAAGAGAACTGGATAGTTTACACAGTAAGTTGTGAATATAATAAAAACGACGACTACAACAAATTGGAATAAGCCAAGAATCTCTTCCAAAGCAATTACTTTAAATCCATTTTTTTGATGATATTTATAGATTCTCCGGAAAAATGAGTCTAAATCTACGATGTGATTCCACTGAGCTGTAGAAAAGGAGAACAAAGAATCGTCAAAAAATCCAAAAATAATTCGACCTTGAGTCTTGAATTACCTTTTTCATTACTATTCGGTGGTATTGTGAATTTTATATTATGCGTATTATCTTCTTCGTCCTCAAAATTATCATCCTGATTATTAAGTTGCTGAAATGGATTCTCTGTTCGGTCTATTGTTGCTTGATAATTCATTTTTCCTTAATTTCTGTCCTTTTTGATTCTATTTTAAGTGATTATTGATAATTTTGAACTACTTTGCACACTCTTGACTGATTTTATGCGGAACTATCTTATCACAACTATCATATTTTCCTAATTATTGTTATGCGATCTATGAATTTACGAAAAATTGCGTTTAATAATTTATTTTCTTCTGTCTTTGTTTTTTTCTTCTCTACAGCTGTTTCTAAGGGGCGGGTAGTGAAATTTTGCAAACATTACTTGAATGTCTATCAACCGTTATGCTTTTGTTTGTGAAACTTTATGGTTTGTTAATTTTATAAACTTTATGCTCACACGTGGGATAAAAACCGTTAAATTTTTGAAAATTTACTAACACTAATGTGAATTCAGCTCAATTCAGCTGAAAATATGTAAACAAAGATATTTGTGAATTCAAAATTTTAGTGAATTTTCAGGTAATTCAATTGAATATTGAAAATTTAAAGTAGTATTCAGTGATTATGTGCTGTGGCTATCATCAATGAATAGTTTTTGGAGTCAGAATTGCAATATTCAATGAAAAATTTGACATTTTAACTTTACAGTGAAATGTTTCTTTGTGTTAGTAATGTGAACTGAGCTGAATTGAAAAAAACCATAAAATTCAAATTTAAAATTAACGGACTTTTCAGAAAAAACTTTACAAACTCAGAAAAATCATCAAAAACTCAAGACATTCAACACAGTGGGGGAAAAGTAAAAGCCATTTGAATTAGAATTTCAAACTTAGTAAAAATTTATTATTATTATTTTTGTTTGTAATCAAAAAACCATGACACAATTTTATGAATAATAGATATTTAAAACAGATTATTGCATAATTATTATTTTTAGTGGTATAAGCAGATCATATAAATAATCTTTATAAAAAAAACATTTAGAAAACAACGTTTTGCAAACAAAAATATTACTAAGGGTAAATTCTTTAAACTAAATACACTTTAGGTTCATTAATCTAATAAAAATTGAAAATTTGGTTCACTTCGTAAGCAGCTTAATTAATTAATTTTAATTATTAAGAAGAAAAATGTGTGATTCGATAAGATTTTTTAAAGCTTTCTCATTTTGCAACAGCTTCAATAGAAAATTCATTTAATATGCTTGTAAATATATAAAAACTGACATTATCTCTTCTATTTTCTATCTAATAGAAAAATATCATCATATATGAGACTTTTTTTAGATCTAAAAATTCAATAAAGATTCAAAGAAAAAATTATGTCCGAGAAACACATGTTTGTTGTGGATGTCATGTGGAGGCCTTGAAAAGATGCGGTTTTCGACCACAATCTACTAAACATGTACAATATATATACTTAAGCAGTTCCAGTTGTTAATAATTAAGCCACTGTATCAACATTTAGGTATATCGAGGCTGTAAACGTCAACTTATGGCATCCACGTGACATGTGTATCTTGGCATAAAATGATTTTACAAAGTGTTTAATTTAACAATAAATAAACTACAAAAATTGTTTGACTATTGACTCGCTATTTGATCGTAAGTTTAGAAGAAAAATATGTCCAAAAATACATTGGAATGAAATGTGAAAATGAAAAAAGAAGTCAGTTTCAAGCGGCACGAAAGATTAGTCGAGTTAGTAATCTTCAGTGTTATTACTGATTAATCGGCTTGGTGATGATTTATTATTTTCTTTTAATGGAGTTGTAGATCCATTCTGAAGTACTGGCTTATCCCGATTCTCAGAACTATCTGATACTTCATCGGAACTAGAACGAACATCACCTTCCATTTGTCCTGCTTTTATTGTCTGCACGACAACTTGAAGAATCATATAAGTCCATATAAAATGGAGTACAAGAAGCATTATAAGTAGTGAATTAAATATATAATAAACTGGGTACATCGGTAATATCTGTGGTGCTTCCACTGTTGAACTATAAATAATTCTTGGAAATAATCCCAAACGAGTCACAATCCAAGATATTGTAAACAATCCAAAGATAATATCGCAAGCTTTTTGGAGATTTGCATACTTTAAGAACTTTGCTGCCTCCAATAAAATATCAGCGAAATCATGAACGATCAGCACAAGTGATCCGACTCGATGTAAATTACACATCCAACTTAATGATATCAATACTAAAGTCAACACGTGATGTATAAACATTTGCCAGAAATCTTTTCGCTTATTATCGAGAAATTGTGAAAATGTTAATGACCAATAAAAGGCCATTGAGATCATGTAGTACCACCAGACATCGTTGTGAATTGACTGAAAATAATATAAATAAATTTGTCAAAATTATGTTGTAATTAATTGATACCCGAGAGACACATAGTAACATTCGCGACCGTATGAATGCTATAACAAAGACATTAATGTTACACAACAGTTGTGCAACATTACCATCATTTTGTCAAGCAACTGTTGTGTGACATTGCTGCTATACATTTTTAATAATCAACTGTTACACAGTTTGTAATTGAATTTGTCATTTAACTGTCACACAACTTTCACTTAATTATGTTAAACATGTCCTCGGTTTAACAACTTACTTGATGAGGGTAGCTATACCAGCATTGCTTAATATCCCATAGCCATGACTTGTCCCACATTACAATTATACCAAAAATAAAGCTATATGTGTAGTACATACAGCGCCAAACATTTTCACAGAATTTTTTCAATGTTGTCGGTTTATCTTGAGCTTTACGCCTTCTCCACCATCTCTCAATTTGTCGTTCTGTCAGGTCAAGTTGTTTAGTCAAATTTACTATCTTAAAAGAGACAAAAATGAGAGAATGTTATTAACAATTAAAGGCCAAAAGTTATTGCCACCAAAAGAAATCGTTTTGCATTGTAATATGTCAAGTGAATGTCAAATTTTTTGCTTGTTAGGCTAATGACGAGCATAGTACATATCTCCATTAAAAATAATTTTTTTCTGTGGAAGTTATCAATGAAAACACCAAAATGTCAATAACCACATAGATAAAGTTTTAAAATATAAGAGATTCCTAAACATTCACAAAATTTTACCAAAAAACGAGTTATCATAAAACTTATTAATTTATGCAGATATAATAAAATTGAGGAAAAAGTGATAGATAAAGTTGAAACGCATTTGTGCTGACCACAAAAATTCTGATAAGATTCTTTTTGTAAAGTTTCAAGATTCAACGATTTTTGTAGTTTGTAAATTTTAACGGTTTTGTAGAATATGAAAATTTTTATCGGTTTTGTAGAATATGAAAAGTTTATCGGTTTTGTAGAATTTGAAGATTTTAACGGTTTTGTAGAATATGAAAATTTAACGGTTTCTGTAGCTAATGAAAAAATTAGAATTCTAAATTACTCTATAAATAAAAACAGACTAAACTGAGACGAAGTAAGAATTTGCATAATTTAATACAAGCCCATTTTATGATCCAGCACAATTGTATGTCATTCAAGCCTACAAAAATGATATTCTCAAATACAGCGCGCGCAAAAACAGCGCTAAGAACATTTTCATTGGCCGTGAAACGCGACGATCATTTAATTTTTTTCTTTCATTTATTACTTTGATAGGAATGTGACACGAAAATGGTAGAAAGGAAATAAAAGAGAAAAGAGCATAAACTTACTGTTTTGTGATTAAGCTTCGACATTTTAGAATACGTGATTTCTAGCGTTTTATTTGGTATAGGAGCTTTAGCCTTGGTCGATTTAATTCCGAGGGATCTTCCAATTGGCATAATCCAATAACTGAAAGTAGAACAAAATAAGAGGTCATGAACTTAGCTCCTTTATGAATCATATTCTAAAGGGAGGGAACGAAATAAAAATTGATTGAGGAATGTTGATATAATTGATCATATGTATGAGTCAATATTGACAGCATGTGCACATGTTTTCTTAGCGCTATAATTATGTGCCTATTGTAGGGTAAACCATGTTGAAATTTGTGTGTTTTTGCACATGAAGATTTGATTTGCATGTAAATTTTTAATGGCTGATTATGAAAATCTGATTATAAGCTTAAAAGATCACAATTTGTGGGAGTTTTCATTTTACATTATGTTATGAAAGATGTGCTGCTTATGGGAAGAGAATTTTGACATTTTTGGTCAAATGTTGAAATTTGTGCGGAAAATTTTAAAATTAGTGCGAAAAAATGTTGAAATTTGTGCACTTTTTTGATAGCAAACTTTGACATAATTTCAATTCTCAAATGTAAGCAAACATTTTGTTTACAATTTTTTGAAACTTAAATCGCGATTTGTGGCAAGGAAAATATCTGAATCAAATTAAAACCAAATAAGAACTACTCAGCTGACTGTTTTTAATTTATTTCTTAAGATGCATGCAAGATACAAGATTCAACTTAATTAATTTTGACTGAGCTTATTAAACAGTAAAATATTCATAAAGCAAGAACGTCCTGCAAGTTTTTACATTTCATATAGAAAGATAGTGAAGTGTATAGATTAAAAGTTAAAATTAAACAATACCTTAAAAATTTGGTAAAATTATGTTTTTTTAAAAATGATCTTGAATTGAAATAAGAAGAGGATATACATATGAATGCTTTGGTGAGATTAATAATTTTTTTGAAGGTTTCGAAGTTTTTCATAATATTTTCTACAGTTTTGAACTAGACGCATTTTTTTAACATTTGGTTTTTAACTTTGAGGAGTTCCAATCATGTTTTTTCTCATTTGTACTTCTAAAAACATGAATTTCATACATAAAATAATATTAATTGTTGACAAAATGTGTAATGACACATTTTTGCTACGATGAAAAACGCACAAAGTTTAACATTTGTCTAAATATTTTACACAAATTTCAACATTTAAATACCTGTGATTTTAAAATCAATTATTAAAGTACTTCCAATGGCGTTTTATGACCAGAAACATTTTTAAACGATTAAATAATATTCAAATTCAATATTTCATCACTTTTATGCTAATTAGAAGCACTTGTTATGTCCAAAAAATTTAAAAGATAAAAATTTAAATTGTGTATGGGGTTTTGATTTTTTCAAATTTCGAGCTGCCTAAGGTTTTCAAGACCATCTTAAATGAGGTAGAAACATTTGGACATCTATTTTACTGCATACAAATGTTCAGGATAAATGGCTTATTAATGATGATTTGCATTTAATTTGAGCGCATAAATTTCAACATTGCACAAATTTCAACATGGTTTACCCTATTACTCAAATTTCTCACAAAAATACATTTTTCGTCATAAATAAATTTGATTCAAAGTAAAAAATAGTACATCCAATATAGAGGCACTATCACGCAATAGTAAACCCCGATGATTGAAAGATAAATATAATCACATATCGACTGTCCATTAAAATCATTTAGATATATGATAAATATACTTGAAATCGTACTAATTTATTTAATGAATGTCTGGCACCGATAATTATGAATGTCTTGGTATCAGCATAAATATTAAGCATGTAGAAAGTCATTATCACACAATCAAATTTTAAATATTGACTCTAATTCCGCAATCAACATTCCTGATAACTATTTTTTCGCATTAATTAAGCAAGCAAAATGAAGCTCATGTTAAAATCGATAATTTTCCGTTTTTGTGATTCATGCACAGTAAAAATCCCCAAAAGTTCTAATCTGGATCTTACTTTTCAACTGCTATCCTCAGAAATATGATAAGAAATGAAATGGGAATAGGCCATAAAAGATGTCTATAATCTGCATAAACGATATCTTCACTACTGCCTGGCTCAATGTCTTTCCATGTAACGTTAGGAGGAAGCCAAACCTTAATAAATGATTAAAATATAAAAATTATTTATTAAAAACTCCTACTAAGGAATTCCATCAAATGAATATGTAATGCAATTAACATTCTCTCACCAGATTCAAGTGTTCTCGTGATAAATCAATCAACTTTTTCAGTATACTTACATCTTCATTCCAAAAGGCATTTGATAATTTAGTTAAAATTTCCATGATTTAATGATTTATTCTTAATTTACACGGTTGTACTTGATATAATCCACGATGTGCTGTCTGTTTTGCTGGAAGATAATGCTGGTTAATCACAATATACCCATTTATTCTTGACTTTAAGCACAGAGATCCAAATTTATTCTGTGATAGAGAAAAAATCGTTTTAGGAACCGTCTGCAAATGACGTCAAATTTTAACGGGCGTGGATTTTTTCGACTTAAATGACTCATCTTGACAATCGCTAATTAAAGACTCTTGTTACTCAACAATTAAGCAATAAATAATAATTGCTGTGATACAAGCAGTAATTTATTTAAAACCTTATCAAACATTGATGACGTCACTGACGTTTCCTGCCTGATTCTATTCAGCAAACGGGGGTTCAAAATAAGAAATAGTGCTGAATATTTTGAAATGCTTGACAAGTGTTTACATATTAAAACTAAAACTTAATTAAACTATCTAGTCATGACAGATACAGCAGAAACGAAGGAGTATATTCTTGAAAAGGACTGTGAACTGCGATTTGAGATAGAAAGCAAGACACAAATCATCGTTGAAGTGAGTTTATTATTCATGTTTGCATGGTTTAAATTATTTAACCGGTGTATCTTTTATTCTGTTCAATTAGCTTAAATCAGGATTCGCAGAACTATATGGAACGGAACTTGTGAAGGCTAAAAAATATACATTTCTACAAGGCGCAAAAGTAGCAGTGTTTTCATACCAAGGATGTGTTATTTTATTAACCGGCGAGCCAGATGTATGTTACATAGCTCGGGAAACTCCAATGGTGAGTCATTAATTCATTTTATTTGTTGATACAGCATTTTTCACTTATGCTGATCTTTTTATTACAATTCATAGATCCAATACCTTAATACACATTCAGCAATAGAACAAATGAGAGCAAAGGCAGAGGAGAGAGAATCACAAGGACCAATTGTTATGATTGTTGGACCAACAGATGTTGGAAAATCGACTGTATGTCGAATTCTTCTTAATTACGCTGTTCGACTTGGTCATCGGCCAATATTTACCGATTTGGATGTAGGTCAAGGAAATTTGTGCGTACCTGGCAGCATATCGTCATTATTAATTGAACGACCAGCTTCAATAGAGGAGGGATTTGCTCAAATAGCTCCTTTAGTAGTTCATTATGGACATAAATCGCCAGATGCCAATAATGAATTTTATAAAAGTTGTATCTCAACGTTAGCTGACATAACAATTGAGAGATTAAAGGAAGATAAAAGAACGATGGCATCAGGAATAATTATTAATACTTGTGGATGGATTAAAGGACAAGGATATCAGAACATCAAAGATGCTGCAAATGCATTTCAAGTAGGAATAATCATCGTCTTAGACCAAGAACGTTTATACAATGAATTACTAAGAGATATCGATTCATCGTGTAAAGTTGTGTTTTTGCCGAAAAGTGGAGGAGTTGTTGAACGTAGTCAGCAAATACGTGCTGAAAGCAGAGATCTGAGGATTCGGGAATATTTTTATGGGTCGAGGTCGCCACTTTATCCTCACTCGATTGATATCAAATGGTAATGCGACTATGCTTTGAGCATTCTGTTAAATATATATACTATACAATCTAATGTGAGAAGTCATTGAAAATGCTTCTGTATGCCTTAAGCTCTCGGTTACCTATAATATGCGATATTTTGTTTTTAAATCTTTTCGGTTTATTTAAATCTTTAGATTTAAAACCAGATTTAAGTAAATCTTCTAATTTAGAATTCAAAACACTTGCCACAGGACTGTTACTGATTGTTAGCCCAACCAAAAAGATATGCTTCACCAATCAGTCATGCGTAAATTTACAATAATATCACACAAAATTAAATACATTTCTACTTTATTATTCAACAGGTCAGACATGAAATTGTATAAAATAGGAGCGCCAGCACTTCCTGACTCATGCATGCCTCTCGGTATGAAAGCGACAGACAACATGACGAAATTATGGCCAATTCAAACAGGACCGTCTCTAGTGCATCATTTACTCGCATTAAGTTTTGCCGAAACAGCCGAGCAAGATGTACTGAAAAAGAACATTTTGGGATATGTTTGTGTGTAAGTACTTAATCGTCCGAATGAACAAAAATATCATCGTATATGATGTGCTGAAATTATAAATGTAAATATTTTTTCAGAACAAATGTTGATGTTGATCGACAAACAATCACGGTACTCTCACCACAACCTAGGCCACTTCCGAATGTCGTGATGCTGCTGTCAGAGCTTCAGTTTATTGATAGTCATTAAAGTTGCATCGTGAGAATGATTTAGAATGTAATTGAATATATTTGTTTGAAATAAAATAAAAAAAGGTTTTTTTGTAATTTACTGAGTTTTGAAACACAAAAGACATTCACAAATCAGTGGAAAGTCATCAACAAAGTTAGTCAAACAACTGAGCAAAAGATTGGGTAATACTTTTTGAAATTTATTGAGTTTTTAGTCACAAATCATTGGAAAGTCATCAACAAAGCTAGTCAAACAGCTGTTGGATGAAGTAAATGAAGTAAACTCAAAATTTCGTAAACCCAGCTGGATAATAAGCAGTCAAGCAATAAACTATACAGAACTGAAATATTGAACAATGTCAACGCTAACATGGTCCATATTTGGAACAGTAAATGAGCATTTAGAAGCAAACACAAAGTTGATATTTTTCCAGATTCCTCTTATTTTTTTATTTTTTTTCTTCTTTATTATTATATCAGGGAGATGAATCATTGGTTTTACATCATACTTAATAATTTAATTCATCATACACCGCATTTATGGCAAAAAAAGGGTTTAATTATTTTTTAATGCAGTACATTCATCTTTACTTGTTTTTTTTTTTAAATTTTTATTATTCATTCAATAAATTTAAAAATAATTATATATCTTGAATTGAATTTGCGTCCTTAATTCATTTTTTATAATTATTTTTTGCACAACAATAATAATTAAATACAACAGCTAATATAGACACATCATTTTTGTTTTTAAGAAAGGAACGGTTTTTTTTTATCGAGACAAGACTAGGTTGGCATCAACAATATGCCATCAATTGATTAAATGTCGGAAAATGAAGGGAGGAATAAGAGCAAAAGGAATGTGAGCAGGGAAAATATTTTTTGTTTTTTTTTTCTTTTATTATTATGAGACTACATGTGATATACTCAGAAGATCTCTACATCGGCATTGCTATTAAATGAGAAGCAATCACATGAATTTTCATTTTTTTTTGTTTAAAGAAAAGTTAAATTATTAATTGCCGAGAACTCATCTCTCACTCTTTGGCATTTTCCCCAAAAACAAAAATCCTCTGTTGGGATCATTCAGCTGTGACGTCTAGACCCTCTCACACTCTGAACAAATTTTATTGATAACAAATTAGTCAGAGGATTCAAAAATTCAACTTTGTGATAGACGTCACTAGTAAATACCCCCATATGTGTACCTTATAGATTTATCAAACAGTTTTCTTTCCTCTTCATTTAATTCTTCATTATTTTTTTCTCTCAATATTTTTTTGAAAACGAAATTAAACAGAATGAAAATATATGTTCCTATTTCTTCCTCATAAAAATAAATAAAAGTCTAAAAAAGTTGTTTATGTGAACATGCCAGTGTCGACTTTTTTTCATACATCTTCGTTCATTTTTTTAAGGACGTCGAAATGAAATGTGATGTCAAATAATGGCTTATCATATTTTTGTTTTACAATGATAATAAATTCAGTCCTTCACAATTTTCTAAATCATAAATCAACATTTTTTAAAAATTTCATAGAGAATTTTACTCTTTTACTTTTTTGTATAAAGAATTTCACTAGCTAAATTGTCACCATCATCTTATTGGTATTATTTTCACGCTTTCAATAGATTTTTAGCATCTGTTGACTTTCTATCATATTGCATCAATAAAATTTGCTTTATGAGATATGTGCACAACTGCTTTAGGTCAGAAAATCGGATTAAAGCTATTAAAATGAAGGATTGCCTTTATTACATGAATAATGGTCGACATATGTTTAAAGATTACAAAGAAAACCTTTTAATTTCATTCATTGCGCTCTAAAACTTCTTCAATGTTTTATTTGTGTTTTAAAACCCTACACTTGGTTTTCAAAGAGTGTCAAAACCTTACGAATGTTTTCTTTTTAACACTTTTTCCATCAAAACCTTGCAAATGTTATTTTTTGAAACAATATAAAAGTTTCAAAACCAACCAAATGTTTTATTTGCACTCAAACCTATAAAAGCCTTACAAAATTTTGAATTTAGATCAAAACCACACAATTTCTAATTTAAGGGTTTGAAAACAATTCAAACGTTTTCAAAAATTGAAACTTTCCAGACTGACTGCACAAATTTCTTCAAAAGAAGAAGAAAAAAACTTATTCATGCTAATATTGAACCACATCAAATGTTTTCTATTACTCCAATTTATGGAAATTGGAAATCATAAAAATTTCATTACGATTGAACTATTTACAAGAAAAAGTTATCTGATTTCTTTGACTTGAATGACTCAATAATTATTTCAAATATTCCTAATGTATGTAATTTATTCGTTTTCGTAGATTTACATGCCGATACGAACTAATTTGTACACATTCTCATGAAGCTACATATTGACCATAATATTAACATGTATGTCTTCAGATATATATTTTTTTGATATCTTTGCATTCTCTGATTCTATTATTGAAAGAAGTAACTTCTCATTTCATTTATAATAAAGTAATTTACTTGATGATTGGTTTTTCTCTTCGAGCTTTAAATATATGTGAACAATTTGTGTGATATATATCTATATATATTCAGCATATCATGTGATGATGGCAATATTTTGGGGTAAAATTCAATTTTCATTTTCACTTCTCAAACCCGATGATGGAAAAGGCAAGATATGATTTTCTTTTTCCCTTTTTTTTCTCATTCTCTAATATTCAATACATGATGACGATGGTTTTAGGGCAATACATGATAAGAAAGGCAAAAGGCGTCAAGAAAGTTCGTAGCAGTAGGTAGTTCAATTGTTCCCAGCTTTTTTTTTAAACTGGAATTTATTACTTGGAAGTTCTGTTCAATTTTTTTTTTAAATAGTGTCTTACACTTTATTCACTTCCTTCAAATTGCTTATTACAGGATTTGATTTGATTTTTTTTTATTTTTTTCATTCACATACAACAAACAATTTTTATTTTTTTTTTTATTAATTAAACTTTCCATAAGTTTTTCTTCTTTTCATGATTTTTTATTTAAAACTATTCACATAAATATTTTTTTTATTTTTTGAAAGATGATTTATCGTTCTTAGTTTGATAAGCTCGGTACGAAAAGATGTGAGAAACATTTCCTTATTTTTCACCATAATTTACTAATGTGGATTTTTAAAAAGAGATGAAATTTCATTACACAGAATATTTCTACAAATCTGATATATTTTCTTTAATATTTGAGAACAACGGAAGGTGAGGGGATGGTGGAAGTATGCAAATATGGAAAATAGGGTCCTTTTTAAAATAGAGATGTAGCTTCTTTTAAAATATTTTTTTTAAATATGTTATTTGCTATATGAATGAAGGATGACACTCTTGAAAAGACGATGACAATCTTATCAGTATCATCATCGTAAAGCATTGTTTTAAAAATCTTGATAATTATCTTCTCGTCGCTTTTTTTTTATCATGTTTTAGCTGATATCTTGTTTTATATGCTATAAATATTTATAAATAGTCATTATTTTTATCATTATTATTATTATTTTTTTGATAGTCTTTTCGAAGAAGGGGAGGATTTGCATCCAGTTTTAATGATGCTTTGCTTATTTTTTGTTGTTTTTCTCTTTTATTATTAAAATTATCAAAGGATTAAAATGTTGATTGAAAGCTTTTGAATGAAGCTTAACAAATTATATTGTTCTGGGTCAGATCTTAACAAATCCCATTAATCTTCATGAACTTCATGTAATTATCTACCCGAGCAGCACAGAAGGGTGGAATGAAGCTTTAAACGGGCGACTGATTTTACTCTTGTTTGAAAACTCAAGTCAGATTATTAATCAAAGTCAATCAAGTTATTATTCTGAGATTTAGATTCTTGTGAATTAGAGTATGAATTGGATTTTACTATAATTCACAGAAATCTACATTTGATTTAATAATTTAAGTAGCTATCAAGTACAAAAGCAGTATAGTAATGTAGTAATATTGCAACAAGGAGATGGAAGTCATTGTTGGACACTGCTTCACAATCAGCAATGCCTTGACCCAACTTCTAATTTCTAAGTAGATGCCACCCTCAAATTGCCTTTTATAGCAAATATTGTGCTGCTCGGGATACTTTTTCTTTTTTCAAATCACAAACCCATCCTCACAAATCATATTATTCAGTTTCTTCTATAAAAAATGATCAACAGGTTGCTGTAATAGTATCTTGTTTATTTTGATCTCATCTTACCCAAATCATTGTAATTCACTTAAGATTTCAATTTGGAAGTTTCCAAAAACATTTCATCCTTTAAAATTTTTTTTTCTTTTAATTATTCATTTAAAAGCTAACTGCATTATGGTAGAAACATTTTACCGGATTCGCCAAAGTGAATTGCATTAGATTCTTTCAGTTCTGTTAGCGACCAAACAGCAATTCCATTCACGAACCTTGAAAGAATGTTCATAACTGACGAAGAAAAAAAAATCAATTATCCTCGCAGTTACTCAACAGAAAGTTTTCAGAAAATTCCTTCTATATAATCTACGGATCTTCGAAGCATTAAAGCTAAAGCTTCGATTATCACATTAATTTTCGCAGATGTTAAGTGTAGAAAGGCAATAATCCTATCTCACAGACACCTGTGAAATAATGTTTGCTGAAAAATTCGACCTTTATAACCAAAATCACTTATGCCTTGAATTGGTATTCTTTGGAAGGATCAATGTAATGCATACTGATGAATTTTCGGTTTAAAAGGAAACTAACCGCTTAATAATAGGCAATTTTCTGTCTGGAACGAACAAAAAGATTCTATTTGGAAGGTTACTTTGGATATTTCTGATGCTGCTTATGAATACTTCAGTAAAACAGAGTTGAAGTAAGGGTTTTTGACATCCAGTGCCAAATCTAAATTATAATTAAGATAGGTCTTCAATTTTTCACCCTTTTTTGTGAATCAAGGTTGAAATAAAAGTAACCAAGTTGAACTTCCATAATTTGATAGCGAACTTGAGTCCTTGATTTAGATGATCTTTAATAACTGAATTACAAGCCTCAATTTTACAAACTAGAGACCTGATTTATCATCCTTTTTGTGGCTTTGTAAACAATTTAAGAGCTCAATTTGACCAATATTAGTCAAACAAATCAACAGCCTGATTTATAGACAAATCAGCATAATTCACTTTGATGATTCCCAACCGTAACCACACATTTCAATATTTTTAATCAATATTCTTTTAGAAATATTTAATTGGATATTCATCTCTTTTTACTTCATTCTTTATTTTTCATTTAAAAAATATTTTTGTTCTTTTACTTCTTCGTCTATATGATTTCAATCACAACGTACGTTTAAATGACCACAAATTTTGTGTATTTTTTGTATACAGAATATATATAAAATATATATTCTAGAGAAACTTTTCCATCATTCTATAGAGTTAACTTAAAAAAATAAACTATGATGATAAAAAAACTGAACCTTTTCTGTACGTCTCTAATAAATTATGGCATCTTAAAACGAGAACAAAAAAAAAACAAAGGGGGGAGAGGAAAGGAAGTGGAATAATAATTTCATAATATAGAATCTAAAACTATTTACATATAATACGAAAAAGTTTTCAAATAAAAAACTCAAATGCAGGACACTTTAACCGACATTAAAACTTATACCCTTATTGAAAAGTTGTGGCATTGACTAAAAACCATTTGTTCCTTTTACGGCCTCTAAAAGCTTTCTTTTCTTTTAAATAGAACAAATGTCGTATTAATAATAATTGGTAATAATATTTTTATTTATGGTTATTTTGTGGATCTCCCTATGAGAAATTAATGTAAATTAATGAAAATATGAGTTTATTATGCGTTTCCTACTATTTTTCAACTACTTCGTAAATTCTGTATGGCTAATTACTATGTGGGATTAAATCCCGTGACAGTTAAATCCTTTTTCATACGTAAAACACTCCACAATTTCGAGATGTCTATTCTAATAAGAAGTACGAAAGTGTTAACTTACAAAATAATAAAAATGTATGACAATCGACTGGATTATCTTCTTGAAAATGTGTAAGCTTGCAGTCTTTATTTTGTTAGGTTCGGATTAGAGAATATGTTGATTTAAGGTCTTATTTAATGGAACTTTAGCTTTATATGATTTAGTTTTTATTTGAAATCTAATTTTGATACAATTTAATTAAAACACTACAAATCACAAGCAATTAAATGTTGTTGAACATTCAAAACGATTGTTCACAGCTATTCTAATTCTATGCTAGCAATTATTTACTTTAATTGATGTTAATTAAGTTTTGTTTGTTTTGAAATCTTCAGAAGACAATTCTCTTAATTTTTCAAGAAAAATCAGATTAGTATGGACGAGAAAACAAATTTATTAAAATAAATTGCCAACATTCCCGGATCATAATCGAAGAAAGTGATTTATTTTATTGACATAAACCAGAATTAAATCTAGTTTAGTACTTCAACTGATGTCGGCATGTTAACAACATGTCAATTATTTAAAATCTTCAATTTATTTTAAATTGACCTTTGCTATTCATTTCATTCTGAAGTTATTTCTATGGAAATTGTAAGCATAAGCATAAGGCATGACCAATGATCTTGAATACATTCAAGAGAAGATTTTCATTTAATATTTTCCATTTGAATTTCAAGTCCTTTTTTCTCCAATTCCGAACCCAAATATAATAAAAGTATGTAAAACTTGGATGGAAAAAGGAACCAAAAAAAAAATTCATTTTCAAGAAGTCAGTCCAGCAAAATGGCAAAAATAATAATGAAATAACAGTCAAAAATATTATAAATCAAGGGATAAAAGTCAAATAAAACCAAAAAAAGAATAAGAACTCTATAGTGTGTATCTAAACTCTTTTATTTTTATTTTATTTTTTTTTGTGCCGTTTATGAAAATGAAAAAATCTTCTTCTTATTCTGCTTCATTAGTTCTGCAGCTTCATTTATAATAATTATCAATTTTTATATTCATTCCTTTTCAGACGGTGCTGTGGCAGGGATACAGAGAAGAACTGCGCGTGTATGTGGGTGGTGGCAAGAGTTTTGTTTTTAATTTTCTTACTTTAATTTCTAAATATTATTTAATTTATCTTTTTCAACATTTTATTATTATTTCTTTTTATTCTTTTATTTACTCATTATTTTTTTTGTTTTTAAATCCTTTCTTGAGCGTTCGTAATAATAATAAATCAGCTTAAATATCTCTCTGCTGCTTATGTTCTCTTATTTTTTCATTTAAAACGATGGTTATTTTTAAAATTAAGTTCATTTCTTTGAAATCTTTTAAATATATATTTTTTTTTACTATTAGGGCTTCTGAAGACGACCAAATTCCCAAGTAATTTACTAGACACTATTCCATAAGCCTGCTTCAACAGGCTTTCAAAAATAAAAATATGTGAGCTTTTATAAAGCTTTCAACCTCTCATGACTTATGTATTAAATTGACACACATTTTGTTAATTTTCTGGTAGAGGAACTGTCTAGATTATGATTAATGATCACTGACTTGCGTAGAGACTAACATGGCAGCAGTGTGATAAAGCATTTTTCAGAGACTTGTGTCATATATGCATAGGGTGGCCATCGATTTTTGTGTCGGATGCTAGCATAATTTTGAATCGTACTGGAATATTTTTTGTATGTTTAGACTTTGATAAAAAAAAAGATTCAATTCCTAATTTGTCTGGATTACTGTTTGACTGTTTGTTTGTCTATGAAAAACCTACAGTTTTTTGGAATAATTTGATGACATTTTTGTCTAGAGAAGTTACGAATGAAGGCTGTGATCTACATTTTTGATATATTTGATTCAAATTATCCTATTAGGTCTCGAACCTATGGCAACTATGGCAATATCATTTGAATCAAGTAGCGACTTCATCTCATACTAGAAAAATTTCTATTTATAAGAAGACATTAAGCTTCAAAGCTTATTTATTTGAATAGTACTCATTGGTCTCATGAGATAGAATTCCAATTTTACTCGAATTGTGTTAATCATCCCACAATATTCCACTTTATATACAATTTTGAAGTTATATATAGTATAGCCACACATATGACAGTAAGTCAAGTACACCACTTGTAAAGCATCTCAAAAAGTCAATATCAATGTCATTAACCATTGAAAATATCCGAGAATTCAGTGTCGTTAAAGTGAAATAAAAGTTTGAAACCCCTAAATCCTCAATTGTTTTTAATCTTCAAGAAACCTTTTTGTTTTTCAAATATATTGCGAAAAATGTTATTACTTCCATAACTAAATTATTAAATTTCTTTTTTCTCAATTTTTTTTTAATGTGTCTCTATGTAAATAAATAAATACAATATATAATATAATTTCATGTGTGTTCAATGCCCAGCGAGAACACTCAATATAATTGTAATAATTCTTTCTTTTTTTAAAGACTTATGTTTCTCTTCATTTGCTTTTTATATACTTTTTTTTGTTGCTGTTATTTATTAGTTTTTTTTTTATTAAATGTTTTTATTTCTTTTTTTTTTGTGTATATTTTTTTTTTGATGCTTGTGTCGCGCGTAGTTTGTTGTAATAATTTTTTTCAATTGGTTTATCGAATATCGGCAATGTTAGATTTGCTGCCAAATATTTTTATTAGCTGCGACTCATAGTCGTCAATGTTTCTCTTCATTAGATCCATGCATGGGCCAAGTAAGCGCTCAAATGCGTCGACATCAATAACTACATGATGTTGTTATATTTTATAGTCGATTACGATGGGAGGTAGACAGAAGACGAGAAAATAGAGTAAGTAAGTAAATAAATGTGTTCAAATTAAAATTGGATATTGGGGGTCGTTCATAAATGATGTTCTGTTCGGCTCTGTCACTAAATGTGCATTCAAACTTATTCCTATTCTCTATAGAAGAGTCAGCGAAATAGAAAATGAACATCATTTATGAACAAACCCCTCAAAAACACTTATATCCAATAAAACCTTAGCAATAATTATAATAATCATCAGTTCTGATGATTGTTTTTATTATTCATCAAGTGAATAATTGTATCAATAAAGAAGTAGAGTCGTAAAAATAGTTATAGTTAAAATTACTTACATGCAACTTTTACATTATCTTGAGCATATGCTGATGCGGCACGTGGCCTGTGTGTAACTAAAGCCAATTCACCGAAATATTGTCCTTTTTCCAACTTTGAAATTTCTGTCTCGCCTGTAACTTGGTGTATTTTAATCGAGACTTGTCCTTCCTCAATGAAGTACATTCCATCGGCAGCATCACCTGTTGATTCATCAATGGCCACAAATGAATGTGAAATTAAGGAAAAGTAATAAACATAACATTAATATTTAAGTGGCTGTTATGAATGTTAATTTGCGTATAATTTTACCCTGTTTAATAATTAGATCGCCTGGACCGTAAACTTTTGGAACTAAAGCGTCAGCCAAATTCATGCGCTCGTAATTCTGTAAAGTTTTTAGCATTGGCACGCTATTAATCAGCGTTTCATACATTTTCCTTTTTCTGAATGCTGATTTCAACAAAATTCGTCGGAATGTTTGGCGATCTAAAGCCCAAAGCTGTCCTTCCGTTACAGCTCGAATAGTCGCAGCACGTGGCATATTGTAAAGCAACGCTAATTCACCAAACGATCCACGATTCTCATATGTGTGTACGTGTTTTTGATCCTCTCCAACTAATGCATTGTAGATGCCACTAAAGTTGTGTTTTTCATTTTTAATTTGAAAATAGACATGGAAAGGTAGAAAATATAATGAGAAATTCTTCTGTGTTCAGCATGAATCCTAATTATCATTATTATCGATTTATAAGAGTGGAGTCATTTGCTGATGACGTCTTTCAGAGAATTTATAGTATTTTACCTCTGACTCAACTAGTCATTTTTAGAAGGTTTAATGAAGCATAACCTCAGATTCTTAAGAAGGTGATCTTGATGCTTCCAGGTTATCTGATTTTTTTAAATCTAATTTACATAGTCTAGATTGCATCAGACCAACTCTTACTATTATTAAACCAGAAACCCCCCTCTTCCTCAAAAACTATAGACGTCATCAGCGAATCACCCCCAACACACATTTATTCACATTTTCATTCTCCATAACAATACTAAAAATTATTTGAGCATTCCGTTCACATTCATATTAAAAAGGCAATTCCGAAAGCATTTTGGCAAGCCAGTGTATTGTTCGGACATAGCTCAGCAGAAGACAAATCGATTAAAGAATGTGGAATTATTTTCTCATACATTATGATTATTATACACATCAGTGACTATATATTGCATGGATTTATGAACTTATGAATAAACTGATTAAATAATCTCTACCGAATAAGTGGAAATATTAGAACTTACGATTCGATCACGTAAAAATTATCTCCGTCGTCGCCTTGTCGAATAATCGTATCGTCAGGTTTCACTTTCTTTTCAAACATCGCGTCAAGTATTTCATTCATCTATTAGTGAAATGTACGAGATGTATAATAGAGGAATTAAATTAGTCTTATATTACAATGTGAAAAACGAGAGAGAACAAGCAAGTAAGTAAGTAAGTGTTACAAATGAAAAATAATTAATTAATTAATTAATTAATCAAATCTCAACATCTTCGTCTTCATCATATTTACCTGTTCTGGATCTAATGCTCGGAAGAGCAAAATATTTTTCACAGAATCACTTAAACGTGTACGCTGCTCGTCTGTCTTTGGAAATATGACCTTGTTGTTATCTTCATCGTCATTATCCTCCTCGGGATCATACTGTTCAGCGAAGACAGACTTTCGTCGTCCTCCCGCAAAGCGATTAACAGGAGGCTCTGTTGATAGTAGTAAATGATAATGCCATCATCATTTTACATTGAGAAAATTAAAGGAAATAAAAGGAAAATGCAAATTGTTTTTGGGGTGATAGGAGTGAAATTTAAAAGGAATGGGATGAACATTCGTGTATACACAAACAGGTACACACACACTTAAGGAAATGAAGAATTAGCATTTAGCAAGGCGTTGATATTCTTGGAAAGGATTTCCTAAGGAAAAGCGTACAACATCTCGAAAGCTATAAACAATAACCAAGAGAACGCTTTCTAGAAAACTAAGCTTATCATTATTTGAATTTTTTCTGGAAACTGAACTTATCCTTAAAAAACTAAACTTCTCCTTAAAACTTAGACTCACTTATACAACCAAAATTAATATTTAAAAACTAATCACATCTCTTGAAACTAATCGTATCCCTTGACACTGAACTTACCCATTTGAAACTAAACTTATCCTTCAAAACTATAAAAATCCATTGAAAGAAAACTTAGAATTGTTTTTTAAAGGATTTTCAGGGCATTACGAGTACTCACGCCTTGCAACTAAGTTATGAGAAGTGTGCACAGGAATAAGAAGATAAATACTAGGAAATTTGCATAAAATTTTCATAACAACTTATAAAACGATGTAAAAAATGCCAAGGGCCTCGAAATAATAAAAATGTATGTTAACTCACCCTCATCTTGTGAAATGATGCTCTCGTCTGGTGTTGTGGGTTTGTTAATTCCAATAATGCCGGTTTGTGCTCGATTCGTTTGAAGTTTAGTAAAGAAATCAACGGCAAAGTCAATTACATCACCGGGCTGTTCAAGCAAATAAGCAATTGAGAATTCTAGTAGCACATCTCGAAGGCTATCGGGAACTTTAACTTTCTGTTTTGACATGATGCTTTTGATATAATTTTTATTTTATTTTATCTTCTCTTGTACTTCTTCCTTCCTTCCTTTATTTTCGCCTATAGACAATAATAGTATTATTATTTTATGTTATATTGTTCCTCTTATTCTTCCTCTCCTTTATTAGTTTTTATTGTGCGATATGCTGTAAAGAAATAAGAGCATAAAATTTGACATCAGTATCGTCGCTTTCATTTAAAAATATAAAATAAATGTGACTCTATCTCCCAGACTTTCTGTCTCGAGCACTATGCAGCAATAAAAAAAGGTGATTTAAATTGTATAATATCGAGAGCTAGAGCGCAGTGCTGCTAACCTAGATGTCTGAAGGAGCTTAGATTATAGATTTTTATTAAAATTGTTTTTTGGTTGACAATAGTGTAGTTATACGTCAACTATCATTAATTCCTGGACAGCTGCACAGAAATTGTTCAAGGAAAGGCTAGCTTGCAATATTACTGTCAACACTACACTAGATTCTGTCATATTTCATTCAAATGGATAAGATTCTGCCACATTTAGTTCAAATGGACTAGATTCTGCCATGTTTAATTTAAATAGACCAGATTGTGCCATAATTAATTCAAATGGACTAGATTCTGCCATGTTTCGTTCAAATGGACTAGATTATACCACATTTAGTTCAAATGGACTAGATTCTGCCATGTTTAATTTAAATGGACCAGATTGTGCCATATTCAATTCAAATGGACTAGATTCTGCCAGATTTAGTATGAATTGAATGAAAGATCCTTAAACTAGGTTATCTAAACAAATCACCAACGTGTCGCATTACATTGGTTGCCTACAACTGAACTCTAACCCATTAAATACATCCACATAACATCACTGCTAGATCTAGATCATGAGTGCATGCAGTTGATATGGAATATTCATATAAATTTTATGTATTCATGGAAGCATGAGATGAGAGAAAAAAATTTATTTCGTTATCATTTAACAACATATAACATAATTTTCCCTTTTTTCCAGTAAATTTATTCTCGAACGAATAATAAAAGAAAAGTGTATATATACTTTTGGGAAGGAAGAGGAAAAAAAAGTATCTTTTTCTCCTTTGAGGGTCAATTCCACGCACTTCTCTCATGTTTTTCTCTGCAACAGATTGAAAAAGTTTTTCTTTTTTTTTCGTGAAAATAAAAAGAAGAAAAAATCGACGAAGACGAGCCAAAGAAAAAGAATTTTAAAAGTGTAAATATTTCTCCGTACTTTATTCGCTTAGAAAACTTTTTATGACTGAAGCAATTTTTTAAGGGCACCTTTTGAAGCATAAAGCGTATGTGCTGGCTATGCTCTGTCTGTCTATCAAGATACAATGCGACAGTAAGGCATATTGATTTGATTTATGAATCATTTAACTGTTCATTTCACCAACATAAAACGGATAATATATCTTCGGTAGGTCACTTCCTATTCTGCCTTTCTTTAAATCAATTTTTTCTTATTCATTTTTTTTTGTATTGAGCTAACCGGAGCATAAAACAATGCTTCCGTTAGATAGGAATCGTTTGGATATTACGTAATGCAAATTTTTTTTTCAACTCTACCTCAGTCCATCCTATTTGCTACTTTGCGTAAATGTTTTTCATAATTTCATACCCCTTTAAAGCTTAAGAAACAATTTGTGGTATAAATCCGACCCCTGTCGATAGAAATTCCTTTGATTTTTAGCTATGCCACTTCCCCCTTCAAAACATGACCACGTAACAAGCACAACAATCCATTCCGACATCAAATAAATCTCAATTTTTTATTTCGAAAATTAGACCTCTTTCAAATGGAATAAGCCAAGACCGCAAAATTGTTTACTCAATCCAATACAAAAAAAGCACCAACTCGAACTGAAGCATTGCCAACTTATTCAGCATGAGAAATTTCCCATGCATAAACTTTTTTTGGGGCAGTACATAAACAGCTATTTTAACCCATCGTAAAATAAGGAATTTACTCTTATTCGTTTACAAAAAGACATTTCATACTTATGTGGGACTGTCGATGCATAAATCAAATCACAACATCAAAAAGTACTTCAAAGTAATAAAAAATAATTTTCCTTTTTTTTCGACATGCTTCATCTTCTTCTTCCTACCTACTTTATTACAGATAGTTTTATTTTCAAGCTAATTTCATTTTCATTGATTGATTACGAACAGCACGAATCATGATGAGAGCAAGAGAGATCATGATGATATAAATTGTCATAGAGAAGGAAGGAAATGTGAGGAGAAATAAAAAAAAAGTTTAAGCCATGTTTAAGTGAAAAAGTGAGATGTAATGCGGGACATGCAGCTCAATTTATAAATGTAAATGAAAAACTTCCGGCAAATAAATTTCGTCTCACAAAATACAAAAAAAAATTCTTTCATTATTTTACATTTACAGACATTTATGTGTTTTTTTTTTCAGCAACTGCATAGGGTGTCTAAGTCGGTTTGTTTTGATTGCGACAGTTTGAGGTTATTCGGATATTACATTATGGTAGATTTGTTGATGGATACTTCATTCGTGTTGAAACATTGATTCTACACTGTTACAAGCCCAAGCGACATAAATAACTCATGAATCCAGCAAGGCTCCACTCATTGGAGCTTCAATATGAATTCAATCATGTCCGTATTGATCAACAGACAGTGCTTTGTGAGGAGTTTAGCCTCAAATCCATATTAAAACTTATCCTTCGCCATTATTTCAGCTACAGCCTTCAAAAGCAAAATTTTTCTACACGGTCGCTTCCAAAAAGCCCTTTTGGGTTTCGAACCATGATTGTAAAGTGATCTGATGCTAAACTACACGACTTTATTTTTATCGAGCAACTTATACCCACAAAATCGCCCAATCATCAACAAATAGAGTCTATAGCAACCCTCAAATTGCAACATTGCTGCTAAAAAAAGATTTTTTCACTTCCTCCCAAATGCCGAAAAACATTATGTAAATGCAGAGAGCTAGAAATTCAAGAAATGTCAATCTTTTCCCCATTCATTGTTTTCCTATATGATTCATCGATTTATTTTTTTCCTCTTCTGTTCTCTCGCTGGGGAAGCTGTGCTTAATAATAATTTATCATTCAAACACGTGGTTTGGTAAAGGATATTTGTTTAAAAACCTTTTTCGAATGAGAAACAAAAAGAAGAATGAGAAAAAAATACCGAAAATAATTTTTTTTAAGTACGCATGAGTGTGTATGCTGATGATGACAATGTGCAAAGATAGCATGAATAATGTCATAATAGATCTCTTTTGTTTCGTGAGAAACTCAATGAAATGAATTATTATTATTATTTTGTCAATGAGCATGAAAGTGTTGGTATGTGAAATGCTTTATATGCATTTAGTGTTATACTAATGAGATAGTGGCAGTTCATGTTACATATATTTATGCTTTTTTTTCATCATTTTCGTATTTACTGTTGATGAGAATTACGTGCTTAAATTGTGAAAGGTAACATATGCCCTATAGAAACAAACAACATATAAAACTAAAGTTCCTTTACATCCTCAACTATCTTAAATTGTTTTTTCATGACTGGGATAAAGGCAGGCAGGCAAGAAAGAAGTTGGCAATGAATATTTGAAGCAGATATGAGCATTGCTATTTATTTTATTCTCTCTTTTTTAAATAGGCTATAAATTCTGAGTTTTATCCAAAGTGGAACTGATAAGATGAAAAGAAAAAGAAAAACTTGAAAATATTCATACGGAGATGCTCACTTTTTTATGACAAAGCATTCTTATTTATGTAAATTTTTTGTGTGTTATTTTTTTGAGTTTTTTTCTCGAGATTCCATTATAATATCATTATCGATGAGCTTCACGAGAAACAAGAACACGTATTTTGAATTTTTTATGGCAAGCATTTAGGCCAATGCAATTTCGATATATTCTCCAATTTCATTCAATCCACATATGTATATATCTCTGTCTTGCTCATTTCAAGACTGGATTGAATTATTTAATTCTATACTACTCCATATAATTGCCATTAGCAAAGAAATAGAATTATTATTTTTGGGTACAATCCATTTAAGTCTTGTCTTTAAATGGGGATTGCTTTGTAAGTGACGTCTATATGAAATTTAATTTTTGTAACATCTTCTGGATTCATATTGTATGTTTCTATGCGGTACATAGAAACACCCTTACTTATTCAACACCTCTCATCAAAAAATTATAGACGTCATGAAAAGATAATCCCAATTCTGTCTGTAAAGAACTTTTCGCCTACAAAGTTTTACATTGTTTTCATTTTTTTCAAATCATGAAAGCTGAAAGCAGCCATAAAGTAGAGAGGATAAATGTAAGGCACATTAAATATTTTTTTTTACATTTGCAAACATTTGGAATCAAATGTCTTACAATCGTCAAAATGACCATGAGAAACTTTAGACTCATAAAGTATGAAATTTTATAGAGCTACAAAAAGTTGTTTATTTTTACGATCATTAATTCTCTAAGCTGATTATAAAATTTAAAGCCATCCTCTGAAGCATTCAATCAACAACTAAGGTTAATGAAAGCTCTCTGACTACGTTCAAAAGTTCAACAAAATGATTAATCTATTCTCATTCTCTGATTTTGTCGGAATACATAAACAAAACGATTTGAAGTCGGCCAATTGCTTGCACAGTTGAGATACTCTTCGATTTAAAATAATGAATTTTTTTTCTGTTAAAACCAGAGATCGAAGCCGATTTTTTCGGCTTAACTCAATTTTTGATTTTTTTGATAGAAAAGAGCCATTTAACTACGAGTTTAAGTATTTAAATTGAACTTTACATGCTTTACTATGATTCTGTGTAATATTTTGTCAGCATGTAGCTATAGTAAGCTCAGAATTTCAATTTAGTCGATGCTAAGCCGATCGGCTTAAATTTCGGCTTAACATTCTTTAACTTGAAATTCTGAGCTTACTATAGCTACATGCTGACAAAATATTACACAAAATCATAGTAAAGCATGTCTATCAAAAAAATCAAAATTTGAGTTTAGCCGAAAAAATCGGCTTCGATCTCTGGTTAAAACAACTTTTTTAGCCAATTCATCTTTTCGGTTAGGTAAATTTTTCAGCATGCCTGATACATTTGACTAATTCAAATTGTCTACATTTGACCGGCATTTCAGCAT